AGAGCTGGACAGGAAGAGGAAGTGTTGTAGCTGGGCTGAGAGAGAAAATGAGAGAACAGAACAGAAAGGCATATAGGTGTGGGTAGATAGAAAGTAGCCTTGCTTTGGAAGCTGCAGAGTTGGGGAGGTGATGTTAGCTGTGGCTTTTCCTATTCCTCTGATCTCTCTCAGGCTTTAACCCCAATTTCTGGCTCTGAGTTTGTTTTTTTATTAATAAGACCATTTAGAAATTCATCTACAACACATCTTCACACAGTGTAAGCAAATATCCTGCAACACCACAAAAATACAGCTACATGATTTTTTTTTTTACAAAGATAACCAAAATATATATTGGAGAAAAGACATCATCTTCAACAAATGGTGCAGGGAAACCTGGATTTCAATATGCAGAAAAATGAAATAACTTACTTTTACTTTGCTTAAAAAACTAAATGGATAGAGGACCTGAACATAAGATCTGATACCCAGAGACTGCTAGAGGTTAATGCAGGAAGGAGTCTTCAACTTATAGGCACAGGCATACACTTTCTGAATAAGACTCCTGTGGTGATGTAAGATTTACAATCAAAAGTAGGATCTTATGAAACTTAAAGTTTCTATAAAGCAAAAAAAAAGTATCAATCAAGTGAAGAAACAGCCCACCAAATGGAAGAAACAAAGTAAAGAAAAATATATAGCATTAACAAGGTGAGATAAATGGCCAATATTCCCAAGTTGTGGGGGATTTCCCAGTTTTAAAAAAAAAAGATTTTTTTTTCAAAAACCGCTAAATTTTATTAAGTACCTTTACTAACAGATTATGAGTTAACTAGCTTTTATCTTATTTTCTTTTTTCAACATTAGTTTTACATTTTTAATTGTTTGAGAATTTCATAGATGTATATGTTTTGATTAAATACACCCCCCATTCTCTCCCATCCAATTCTGCTGGCCCACCACTTTCCCTTAAACCTCAATGGGTTCTGTCTTTAAACCCAGAGTCTACTTAGTATTATTTGTATGTGCATGGGTGTAGGACCATCTACTGGGGCATGGGTAGCCTCTCAGAGACCATATTCCTGAAGAAAATTGCCACTAGTCATATCAGAGGAGCAGCATGATTGAAGTTCGAGGTGTCAGCCCACCAGGAGGTGAATCCCTGATGGGTGAATCTCAGATAGGCAAGGCCCAAAAACCACAGACTCCAGAATGTCTTTTGCTTCTGCTGTGCCTTCACATTTTTGCCACTGCCATCTTCCTCTGGTATCTGGCATGATGTAATGGGTATGAGGAGATCCCCACTGCCAGTAATGTAGTGCGTTTATCTCATGGAAACATCCCATTCTACTGGGCATTTTTACCTGTGGATTAGTATGAAGATGATTTCTTCCTAAGTTGTACTATCTAACTGATAATAATAATAATGTTAGTTAAATAGAGCTTTGATGATTAAAAATAAAACAAGGAAGTGTCACACAGCTAGAACACATGAGTTTCTATTGAGAAGCTGTATAGACTGTGGCCTAGGTTAATGACTAAGAAAAATAATTGAGTCCCTGTAGCCCAGCTAGTTTAAATTCTTCTAATCTTAATGTTGGGAGATGTGTTCACAGATTTCAGAGTGCATCATAGCTGAAACAAGGCTTTGAAAATAACTTAAGATTAGACTAGATGTTTTTGTCAAATAGCTTTGAGCTGAAAAACCCAAGAAGACAAAGTTTTAGAAAGGCACATAGTTGCCTTAAGGTCAGGGAGAAAATACAAAGCAGCCCAATTGTTACTAGCTGATGTACTTTCCATGCTAGGGTTGGTTGGTGATCAAAGGTGATGATTATACCCATTTCTGCCCTCAATCTCCTGAAATAAGAAACTATTGATGAGTGGGTATGCACCCTAAAGATTTAAAGTGGAGCTGACTGATTGTTTCTTCACGTATAAAAGTTTAGATTTGTGATTCCTTTAAGATTCCTTATAAGATTACCTTTCAAGATAAGTAATAAAGTGATTGGTCCTTTCTTTGTAACCACAGAATGCAGCCTGCCAGTAAAAGAATACCTTGCTTGCTTACACTTTTAATCTATAACAAGTTGCTTGGGTATGAATGTACGTGGGTTCTTGGGGTAATTTGTTTTTCACCTGTAATAATGTAAAATGTTTAATCATGTTAAGGGATATGGAAAGCAGGCTTTTTTTTTATTTGTATTAATTGTAATCATTCACTTGAAAAACAGAATGTAGCCATGTAGTGGTATTTGCTCCGCCCATGACCTTGGGCTATACAGCCCAAAGGAGGCGGTGCTTCCTGCTATTGTACATGACCTCTTATAAGGAGCTGGAGAAGGGTCACATGCTCTTTTCTCCCTGCTCCTGCCTGCGAGGTGGATTTGCTCCCGGTCAGATCAGAGGACGACTTCTGCTGTCTACTCCATTCTATAATCGTGAGTGTATTTCCTCAATTTATATCTTAATAAGTTCTGTTCCCCATTTAATAGACTCACATGGATTGATTGTAATAGAGCCACATTGTAATTTTTATATTGCCTGAAAGATTTTGCTGGGGTATATAAGCTGTAAGGGAAAGAATAAAAATAGAGTTAAAATGAGTTAGAAGGAAAACATCAAGAATGGGAGTTAAAAGGAATTAGAAGGAAAACATCAAGAATAAAGATAGAGTTAGAAGGAAAACAACAAGAATGAGAGAAGGAAATCACCAGGAAAGTAAAGAATAGAGAATATAAAGAAGAATAAAGAAAAGGTCTGTCTGAAGGAAACAGTCAAGAGAGTATGTGAGTGTCCTTGTCCCTAAACCCCTCAGATAGAAAGGTCTTAGTACTCACAGATGCCTTGGATTCCCTCTGAGCCCTGCACTGCTGGAGGCTGGCCCTCTTAGCAGCAAAACCTGGACTAATGTCAAATCATTGTATCTCTTATTGCTGTCAGCCTCCCCTCTTAATAGTAGTGGGGAACACAAACTCAAGAGAAAACAACTCACCACACACTCACATAAAATAAAAAAAAAAACAGAAAGGGGGGGAGGGGGAAATTAAAAACCAGAGGGACACATCCTTCCCAACAGATGTGCAAGTACAGTCAGAAACACACAAGACTGTGAGGGCAGGGGGAGAAAATAAGCCAGTGGGACCCCTCCACAAAGTCACTACCCTCAATATAGGAAACGATATACTGAGATAGCTGAAATGCCAGAAAACTAACTCAGATTCCCAATTTTTAAAAGGGCTCAAAAACCACATAGCGGGCACAAAACAACAGGTGAATAAAGTAAGGAAACCAATTCAGAGACAAACCAAAACAGAGACAAGCAATAGTTAGCTAAGTGGATGAAATTCAGCAATTTGGAGTACAAATTCAAAGATGTGGAGGTATCGGGGACTATGGGGGTCCATCCCCTTGATAGTCCCCTCCCAGGGTCTGGGAAGAATCTACAACCAGCTGATAATTAATCTTTGAGGATAAGAAATGAATCTAAGCCAGGCGGTGGTGGCGCATGCCTTTAATCCCAGCACTCAGGACGCAGAGGCAGGTGGATCTCTGTGAGTTCGAGGCCAGCCTGGTCTACAGATCTACAGAGCGAGATCCAGGAAAGGCGCAAAGCTACACAGAGAAACCCTGTCTTGAAAAACAAAACAAAACAAAACGAAAAGAAAAGAAAAGAAATGAATCTACATACACGAAACTCCTAGTCTATACATTTTATTATTCTGTGTCAGTTCTCTCTCTACAAGCTTCTATTCTGCTCTCATGTCTAGCTCCTTTCTTGCCTGATTTCTCTCTATATTTATCTGCTGTTCCCTCTAAGTTCTATCTTAATTCTCTCATCTTAGTTCTGCCCCATCTAGGTTCTCATCCATCTAGTTCATTCCCATCTTAGCTCTTCTCTCATCTCCTTCTCTCTCATCTTGTTCTTTCCCACCTGGCTCTTCCTCATCTTCCATCTTGTTCCTCTAGTCCTCTCTTCTAGCCCTTCAATCCAGTTCTTCCCCATCTCAGTACATTCCTCTCCAGTTCTTACCCATCTAGTTCTTCCGTTTTCTTTTTTCCCCTCTCTCTCTCCTCCTCTCAGTCTCCTTATTCTCTCCGTTCTCCCCAAGTCTCTCAGGAATCCAGTTATAAACCCAAGCAATAGCAACCCTCTGGCAGAGCAAGGTCACCAGGCTTGAATTCTTACAGGGTCATAAAGGCAGATAAGAGTTTTCCTCAGGCAGTGACCGCCAGGCTTTCTTTTTTTTTTTTTGTTTTTTTTTGTTTTTTTTTTGGTTTTTCGAGACAGGGTTTCTCTGTGTAGCTTTGCGCCTTTCCTGGAACTCGCTTTGGAGACCAGGCTGGCCTCGAACTCACAGAGATCCGCCTGGCTCTGCCTCCCGAGTGCTGGGATTAAAGGTGTGCGCCACCACCGCCGCCGCCCGGCCCAGGCTTTCTTTTATAACCAAAAAGGGGAGTGGTGAAGGAGGAGGTCAACTGAGAACTAATGATTGGTTAGTATATCAAAAAGGGAATTTATGTGCTCAAGCTACAGTCCTAGAAGTGGTTAGGTAAGAAGTTAGGAGTCTATAGTGTTAGTAAAACTGTATAAGAAAGGAGGGTCTCAGCTTGAATTGCACAAGAAATAAAGCTATCCGCCTGACCTAAGAGACAGGCGTTGTTTCCGTAAGGGTATCACCTTAATTCAGGAGATCGTTTGGCCTTGGATGCTTGATAGGTATTTTAGATAAATACACTGTTAGGAGTTCTTGGAAGCACACAAGAAAATCATTTTAGGAACCAGCTAATATATATACAAAAGCTAAAATATCACCAAGATTTCTTAAGCCATGGCTTGACTTTCGGAAAAGTCCTTGACTTTTCCAAGTAGTAGCTTTTGTGATAGTAGCTGAATTCCATTACATTTTCCTGCAGCTTGCAGCATGGAGGAAAAAAAAAATCAACAAGGAAATTGAGACTCTGAGGGAAAATAGAAAAAAGAACAGAAGTGTTGGAAATGAATCAATCAAATGAAAACACAGTGTAACGCACCATCAACAGACAAAACCAACCAGAAGAATGAATTTCAGGGATGGAAGGCTGGTTGAGACAATAACATATTCAGGCATAAATAAAGAAAAAAACAACAGTAATGAGCATGACCAAGTCTTTCAAGAATTCTGGCATATGTTCAAGGGACCCAATCTAAGAATCTACATGGTAGAAGGAGTTGAAATAAAAATCTAAAGGCAAAGACAATTTATTCAGTGGAATTATGATGGAAATTTCCCCAAACTTAAAGAAATAAATGGACATCCAAACGCAAGAGGCATTTAGAACTCCAAATACTCATCATCAGAGACAAACCTCTCCACAACATATCATATACAAGATGTCAAAAATACAAAGCAAAAACAAACAAACAAACAACAACAACAAAAACCATTAAAAGTTGTAAGGGCTGGGAATAGTGGTGCATGCCAGTAATCCCAGCACTCAGGGCAGAGGGTGGGAAAGATTGCTGTACGTTGGAGGTTTGGCCTGGTCTACACAGCAAGTTCCAAGCCATCCAGGGGTACATAGTGAGATTCTGACTCAAGCAAACTTGTAAGGGGAAAAAAAAAATCCCAACTCAGCAACAAAAGCAAACACCACACTAAAGAATAGCCTCAGATCTCTGGTCAGCAACCCTTGGAGACTGAGCAATACACCTCTGGGGGAACAATGAGTCATTGAAGAAATCAAGGAGAAAATTTTAAATTCCCACTGCTTGGGCGGAGGATATGGCTCAGTGAGTAAAGTGGTGGCTGTGCAAGCACAGGGGCCTGAGTTCGAATCCCCAGCACCCAGGTAAAAGCTGAGCACGGCAACTTCACCTGTAACTCCAGCAGTGGCAGAGGTGTGCAGGAACAGGTGGATACCTGGGGCCTGTTGGCCACCCAGTTTATCTGAAATAGCGGGCTCCATGTTCAGTGAGAGACCCTGTCTCAAAAAATGAGATGGAGAGCAACCGAAGACACCTGGCCAAAGTGTTGAGGTGACCACAGCAACCCTAGCGGACTTCGACCAATGAGGGGTCGCTAGGATACGCAGCCAGACGCAGAGGGGGCCCTTGGGATCAGCCTGGAGGCCCAGAGCCCAGCAGGCCAGCAGAGAGCCGCCAGGTGGAGCAGAACCAGCCTGTGAGGTCGCACTCCGAGGCCAGCATGCCCAGGACCAGACAGGGCAGCCGTCGAGGGTCGTCGTCGTCTCGCCGCTCCCGCACCTCCAGAGCCGAGCTGACCTTCTCTGTGAGCCTGGTGGAACACCGTCTTCGGGAGGGCGGCCATGCCCGGCGGCTGAGCGAAACGGTGCCCATCTTGCTGACTGCCATCCTGGAGTTCCTGACCCGCAGGCTGCTGGAGCTGGCAGGCAATGAGGCCCAACGCCGAGGCGCACAGAGGCTCATCACCCCGGAGCTGCTGGACGTGACTGTCTACAATAACACGCTGCTCAGCGAACTGTTCCAATTCGCCACCATCTCCCAGGTGGCCCCGGCTGGTCGCCCCCGTCGTGGGCGTCGACGTCAACGCTAGCTACTACCTGCTGCTGCTGTTGCTGCTGCTGGCTGGCTCTGGGTTGCTGACCTGCCCATCCGCCCCAATCTACCCACCGAGCATCAGTTCATCCCGCCCAAACTTTGCCACAGACAGCCCTGCGAGGCTGGTCAGCCTCGTCCCTTCCTTCTCCCTGTTGTGCTCTTATTAAAGCTTTAGTTCGAGAACCCCATAGGTTTGCTTCCCTGGCTTTTCCTTTGGCACGGGGTGGGGGTGGGGGTGGGGGCAGAGGGTGAGGTGGGCCTAGTTGGAGGAACACAGCGGGTGGGAGTGGTGCTGGGGTGCAGGTGACCTACAGGCTGGTTTCCCTAGTTTTTCCTTTGGGCATGAGGTGGGAGCGAGTGGAAGGTAGGGGAAGAAGGTCAGGGTGGCCTAGTGTGGCAACACAGTGGTGTTTGGGGTGCAGGTGTGGAAGGCAGGCGGGCAGGGATGGTGGAGGAACAGCCGCTTTGGAGGGAGACAAGGGGGACCTGGATGGGGGTACCCCCATGCACCTCTTGGCCCTGAACCAGCCTGGGCCAGCCTGGCCAGCTGCATCAGAAAGATGGCCTTCTCATGGGAGACCACAGAGCAGAGACGACCCACGTGCAAAGGCGGCCTTTTGGCTGGGGATGCAGACGTGAACAGAACAGTGGCACGTCAGGAATAATAGGGTCATGGAGGATCACGATGCTAGTTTTTGTTATGACTGATCCTAGGATGGTCCGCAAGATCTGCCAGGAGGCTGCCTTGGCAATGGCTGTAAATGATGTGAAAGCTAGCAATGGCTCCCGCCAGGCCAGGGCCAGTTCTAGCCTGCACAGGCTGGTCTCGGGTTTGTGGAGGCCACAAGGGTCCCAGTGCTAGGCCCCGCACCACACACAGTCATTTGCATACTTGGCGGACACTGGGCCCCGCCAGCCCATCAATCAGCGTCACCCAGGCCCCGCCCCCACAGGCTGTTATTTACATACGGGTCCTGTGGCCAGATACCATCCGACCTCCCTGACTAGGTTACTGCAGTGGCCCTGCCCGCCTCATCAGCTCTCTTTGCATATCACCGTGGCAACGGGTGAGCGCTGGGGCGCCTGCTGCAGCCACAGCGGAGAGGGAAGTGACGCAAGCCCTATCCCAGTCTGGGTGGTGGCTGTGCCCGCCCACGCGCCCCAACTGGAAGGTAGGAGGCCCGGCTGGCAGCTGGCGGCCAACAGGAAGGTGGGCTGAGTGACTGTGGTGACCTGTCTTAGATGCCTTGGACTTCTTGAGATACCTGGCAGCCATGTCTTTGTTTCCGTGAGTCGTTAGGACTAAATTGTTAGGCTTATATTCTGTAACCCCACCTATTTTATCCGCCATATCCACAATTTAAAACCCCATCCCCCTAAGCTACAAAAGCATTGTCTGTCTTCTTCACATCGAATGCTGACCTCATGCAACCCACCTTGCGGGGAGTCAACGTGTCTACAGAAATAAAAGGCTTGTTTTAGTTAACTTGGCCAAGAATATTTGGGCCGGTGGTCTTTCTCCCTCCATGTTTGGGATTAATAGACTCTGGGCAGGGCCACAGCATCCCATTGGAAGCTCGTCTTGAGATTGTTGGACACCTGCCAGAAGCGATCCAAGAAATCCTAACGATCAGAGTTGGACCACGGATCAGAGCGGCCTCCTACCTTCCAGTTGGGGCGCGTGGGCGGGCACAGCCACCACCCAGACTGGGATAGGGCTTGCGTCACTTCCCTCTCCGCTGTGGCTGCAGCAGGCGCCCCAGCGCTCACCCGTTGCCACGGTGATATGCAAAGAGAGCTGATGAGGCGGGCAGGGCCACTGCAGTAACCTAGTCAGGGAGGTCGGATGGTATCTGGCCACAGGACCCGTATGTAAATAACAGCCTGTGGGGGCGGGGCCTGGGTGACGCTGATTGATGGGCTGGCGGGGCCCAGTGTCCGCCAAGTATGCAAATGACTGTGTGTGGTGCGGGGCCTAGCACTGGGACCCTTGTGGCCTCCACAAACCCGAGACCAGCCTGTGCAGGCTAGAACTGGCCCTGGCCTGGCGGGAGCCATTGCTAGCTTTCACATCATTTACAGCCATTGCCAAGGCAGCCTCCTGGCAGATCTTGCGGACCATCCTAGGATCAGTCATAACAAAAACTAGCATCGTGATCCTCCATGACCCTATTATTCCTGACGTGCCACTGTTCTGTTCACGTCTGCATCCCCAGCCAAAAGGCCGCCTTTGCACGTGGGTCGTCTCTGCTCTGTGGTCTCCCATGAGAAGGCCATCTTTCTGATGCAGCTGGCCAGGCTGGCCCAGGCTGGTTCAGGGCCAAGAGGTGCATGGGGGTACCCCCATCCAGGTCCCCCTTGTCTCCCTCCAAAGCGGCTGTTCCTCCACCATCCCTGCCCGCCTGCCTTCCACACCTGCACCCCAAACACCACTGTGTTGCCACACTAGGCCACCCTGACCTTCTTCCCCTACCTTCCACTCGCTCCCACCTCATGCCCAAAGGAAAAACTAGGGAAACCAGCCTGTAGGTCACCTGCACCCCAGCACCACTCCCACCCGCTGTGTTCCTCCAACTAGGCCCACCTCACCCTCTGCCCCCACCCCCACCCCCACCCCGTGCCAAAGGAAAAGCCAGGGAAGCAAACCTATGGGGTTCTCGAACTAAAGCTTTAATAAGAGCACAACAGGGAGAAGGAAGGGACGAGGCTGACCAGCCTCGCAGGGCTGTCTGTGGCAAAGTTTGGGCGGGATGAACTGATGCTCGGTGGGTAGATTGGGGCGGATGGGCAGGTCAGCAACCCAGAGCCAGCCAGCAGCAGCAACAGCAGCAGCAGGTAGTAGCTAGCGTTGACGTCGACGCCCACGACGGGGGCGACCAGCCGGGGCCACCTGGGAGATGGTGGCGAATTGGAACAGTTCGCTGAGCAGCGTGTTATTGTAGACAGTCACGTCCAGCAGCTCCGGGGTGATGAGCCTCTGTGCGCCTCGGCGTTGGGCCTCATTGCCTGCCAGCTCCAGCAGCCTGCGGGTCAGGAACTCCAGGATGGCAGTCAGCAAGATGGGCACCGTTTCGCTCAGCCGCCGGGCATGGCCGCCCTCCCGAAGACGGTGTTCCACCAGGCTCACAGAGAAGGTCAGCTCGGCTCTGGAGGTGCGGGAGCGGCGAGACGACGACGACCCTCGACGGCTGCCCTGTCTGGTCCTGGGCATGCTGGCCTCGGAGTGCGACCTCACAGGCTGGTTCTGCTCCACCTGGCGGCTCTCTGCTGGCCTGCTGGGCTCTGGGCCTCCAGGCTGATCCCAAGGGCCCCCTCTGCGTCTGGCTGCGTATCCTAGCGACCCCTCATTGGTCGAAGTCCGCTAGGGTTGCTGTGGTCACCTCAACACTTTGGCCAGGTGTCTTCGGTTGCTCTCCATCTCATTTTTTGAGACAGGGTCTCTCACTGAACATGGAGCCCGCTATTTCAGATAAACTGGGTGGCCAACAGGCCCCAGGTATCCACCTGTTCCTGCACACCTCTGCCACTGCTGGAGTTACAGGTGAAGTTGCCGTGCTCAGCTTTTACCTGGGTGCTGGGGATTCGAACTCAGGCCCCTGTGCTTGCACAGCCACCACTTTACTCACTGAGCCATATCCTCCGCCCAAGCAGTGGGAATTTAAAATTTTCTCCTTGATTTCTTCAATGACTCATTGTTCCCCCAGAGGTGTATTGCTCAGTCTCCAAGGGTTGCTGACCAGAGATCTGAGGCTATTCTTTAGTGTGGTGTTTGCTTTTGTTGCTGAGTTGGGATTTTTTTTTTCCCCTTACAAGTTTGCTTGAGTCAGAATCTCACTATGTACCCCTGGATGGCTTGGAACTTGCTGTGTAGACCAGGCCAAACCTCCAACGTACAGCAATCTTTCCCACCCTCTGCCCTGAGTGCTGGGATTACTGGCATGCACCACTATTCCCAGCCCTTACAACTTTTAATGGTTTTTGTTGTTGTTGTTTGTTTGTTTGTTTTTGCTTTGTATTTTTGACATCTTGTATATGATATGTTGTGGAGAGGTTTGTCTCTGATGATGAGTATTTGGAGTTCTAAATGCCTCTTGCGTTTGGATGTCCATTTATTTCTTTAAGTTTGGGGAAATTTCCATCATAATTCCACTGAATAAATTGTCTTTGCCTTTAGATTTTTATTTCAACTCCTTCTACCATGTAGATTCTTAGATTGGGTCCCTTGAACATATGCCAGAATTCTTGAAAGACTTGGTCATGCTCATTACTGTTGTTTTTTTCTTTATTTATGCCTGAATATGTTATTGTCTCAACCAGCCTTCCATCCCTGAAATTCATTCTTCTGGTTGGTTTTGTCTGTTGATGGTGCGTTACACTGTGTTTTTCATTTGATTGATTCATTTCCAACACTTCTGTTCTTTTTTCTATTTTCCCTCAGAGTCTCAATTTCCTTGTTGATTTTTTTTTTCCTCCATGCTGCAAGCTGCAGGAAAATGTAATGGAATTCAGCTACTATCACAAAAGCTACTACTTGGAAAAGTCAAGGACTTTTCCGAAAGTCAAGCCATGGCTTAAGAAATCTTGGTGATATTTTAGCTTTTGTATATATATTAGCTGGTTCCTAAAATGATTTTCTTGTGTGCTTCCAAGAACTCCTAACAGTGTATTTATCTAAAATACCTATCAAGCATCCAAGGCCAAACGATCTCCTGAATTAAGGTGATACCCTTACGGAAACAACGCCTGTCTCTTAGGTCAGGCGGATAGCTTTATTTCTTGTGCAATTCAAGCTGAGACCCTCCTTTCTTATACAGTTTTACTAACACTATAGACTCCTAACTTCTTACCTAACCACTTCTAGGACTGTAGCTTGAGCACATAAATTCCCTTTTTGATATACTAACCAATCATTAGTTCTCAGTTGACCTCCTCCTTCACCACTCCCCTTTTTGGTTATAAAAGAAAGCCTGGGCCGGGCGGCGGCGGTGGTGGCGCACACCTTTAATCCCAGCACTCGGGAGGCAGAGCCAGGCGGATCTCTGTGAGTTCGAGGCCAGCCTGGTCTCCAAAGCGAGTTCCAGGAAAGGCGCAAAGCTACACAGAGAAACCCTGTCTCGAAAAACCAAAAAAAAAACAAAAAAAACAAAAAAAAAAAAAGAAAGCCTGGCGGTCACTGCCTGAGGAAAACTCTTATCTGCCTTTATGACCCTGTAAGAATTCAAGCCTGGTGACCTTGCTCTGCCAGAGGGTTGCTATTGCTTGGGTTTATAACTGGATTCCTGAGAGACTTGGGGAGAACGGAGAGAATAAGGAGACTGAGAGGAGGAGAGAGAGAGGGGAAAAAAGAAAACGGAAGAACTAGATGGGTAAGAACTGGAGAGGAATGTACTGAGATGGGGAAGAACTGGATTGAAGGGCTAGAAGAGAGGACTAGAGGAACAAGATGGAAGATGAGGAAGAGCCAGGTGGGAAAGAACAAGATGAGAGAGAAGGAGATGAGAGAAGAGCTAAGATGGGAATGAACTAGATGGATGAGAACCTAGATGGGGCAGAACTAAGATGAGAGAATTAAGATAGAACTTAGAGGGAACAGCAGATAAATATAGAGAGAAATCAGGCAAGAAAGGAGCTAGACATGAGAGCAGAATAGAAGCTTGTAGAGAGAGAACTGACACAGAATAATAAAATGTATAGACTAGGAGTTTCGTGTATGTAGATTCATTTCTTTTCTTTTCTTTTCGTTTTGTTTTGTTTTGTTTTTCAAGACAGGGTTTCTCTGTGTAGCTTTGCGCCTTTCCTGGATCTCGCTCTGTAGATCTGTAGACCAGGCTGGCCTCGAACTCACAGAGATCCACCTGCCTCTGCGTCCTGAGTGCTGGGATTAAAGGCATGCGCCACCACCGCCTGGCTTAGATTCATTTCTTATCCTCAAAGATTAATTATCAGCTGGTTGTAGATTCTTCCCAGACCCTGGGAGGGGACTATCAAGGGGATGGACCCCCATAGTCCCCGATACCTCCACATCTTTGAATTTGTACTCCAAATTGCTGAATTTCATCCACTTAGCTAACTATTGCTTGTCTCTGTTTTGGTTTGTCTCTGAATTGGTTTCCTTACTTTATTCACCTGTTGTTTTGTGCCCGCTATGTGGTTTTTGAGCCCTTTTAAAAATTGGGAATCTGAGTTAGTTTTCTGGCATTTCAGCTATCTCAGTATATCGTTTCCTATATTGAGGGTAGTGACTTTGTGGAGGGGTCCCACTGGCTTATTTTCTCCCCCTGCCCTCACAGTCTTGTGTGTTTCTGACTGTACTTGCACATCTGTTGGGAAGGATGTGTCCCTCTGGTTTTTAATTTCCCCCTCCCCCCCTTTCTGTTTTTTTTTTTATTTTATGTGAGTGTGTGGTGAGTTGTTTTCTCTTGAGTTTGTGTTCCCCACTACTATTAAGAGGGGAGGCTGACAGCAATAAGAGATACAATGATTTGACATTAGTCCAGGTTTTGCTGCTAAGAGGGCCAGCCTCCAGCAGTGCAGGGCTCAGAGGGAATCCAAGGCATCTGTGAGTACTAAGACCTTTCTATCTGAGGGGTTTAGGGACAAGGACACTCACATACTCTCTTGACTGTTTCCTTCAGACAGACCTTTTCTTTATTCTTCTTTATATTCTCTATTCTTTACTTTCCTGGTGATTTCCTTCTCTCATTCTTGTTGTTTTCCTTCTAACTCTATCTTTATTCTTGATGTTTTCCTTCTAATTCCTTTTAACTCCCATTCTTGATGTTTTCCTTCTAACTCATTTTAACTCTATTTTTATTCTTTCCCTTACAGCTTATATACCCCAGCAAAATCTTTCAGGCAATATAAAAATTACAATGTGGCTCTATTACAATCAATCCATGTGAGTCTATTAAATGGGGAACAGAACTTATTAAGATATAAATTGAGGAAATACACTCACGATTATAGAATGGAGTAGACAGCAGAAGTCGTCCTCTGATCTGACCGGGAGCAAATCCACCTCGCAGGCAGGAGCAGGGAGAAAAGAGCATGTGACCCTTCTCCAGCTCCTTATAAGAGGTCATGTACAATAGCAGGAAGCACCGCCTCCTTTGGGCTGTATAGCCCAAGGTCATGGGCGGAGCAAATACCACTACATGGCTACATTCTGTTTTTCAAGTGAATGATTACAATTAATACAAATAAAAAAAAAGCCTGCTTTCCATATCCCTTAACATGATTAAACATTTTACATTATTACAGGTGAAAAACAAATTACCCCAAGAACCCACGTACATTCATACCCAAGCAACTTGTTATAGATTAAAAGTGTAAGCAAGCAAGGTATTCTTTTACTGGCAGGCTGCATTCTGTGGTTACAAAGAAAGGACCAATCACTTTATTACTTATCTTGAAAGGTAATCTTATAAGGAATCTTAAAGGAATCACAAATCTAAACTTTTATACGTGAAGAAACAATCAGTCAGCTCCACTTTAAATCTTTAGGGTGCATACCCACTCATCAATAGTTTCTTATTTCAGGAGATTGAGGGCAGAAATGGGTATAATCATCACCTTTGATCACCAACCAACCCTAGCATGGAAAGTACATCAGCTAGTAACAATTGGGCTGCTTTGTATTTTCTCCCTGACCTTAAGGCAACTATGTGCCTTTCTAAAACTTTGTCTTCTTGGGTTTTTCAGCTCAAAGCTATTTGACAAAAACATCTAGTCTAATCTTAAGTTATTTTCAAAGCCTTGTTTCAGCTATGATGCACTCTGAAATCTGTGAACACATCTCCCAACATTAAGATTAGAAGAATTTAAACTAGCTGGGCTACAGGGACTCAATTATTTTTCTTAGTCATTAACCTAGGCCACAGTCTATACAGCTTCTCAATAGAAACTCATGTGTTCTAGCTGTGTGACACTTCCTTGTTTTATTTTTAATCATCAAAGCTCTATTTAACTAACATTATTATTATTATCAGTTAGATAGTACAACTTAGGAAGAAATCATCTTCATACTAATCCACAGGTAAAAATGCCCAGTAGAATGGGATGTTTCCATGAGATAAACGCACTACATTACTGGCAGTGGGGATCTCCTCATACCCATTACATCATGCCAGATACCAGAGGAAGATGGCAGTGGCAAAAATGTGAAGGCACAGCAGAAGCAAAGTGTGATACTTTGTTTGTGATCTAACAAATAAAGCTTGCCTGAAGATCAGAGTGGGGAGCTAAGCCACTAGTTAGACATAGAGACCAGGCAGTCGTGGCACACACCTTTAATCCTAGCATTTGGGATCTCATGCCTTTAATGCCAGCACTGGGGAGGTGGAGATAGGAAGTGATATGGCTGAGTAGAGAGGAGAATATAAGGTGGTAGGAGACAGAAGCTCACTGTCTTTCAAGCTGAGAAATTGGCAAAGTAGAGGTAGTGGCTGTGGCTTGTTCTTTTTTCTCTCTGATCTTCCAGCATTTGCCCCTATATCTGACTTTTGGTTTTTATTTTTAAGACTAATTAGAATTCATGCTTCAGTGAAAGACATTCTGGAGTCTGTGGTTTTGGGGTCTTGTCTATCTATGATTCACCCATCAGAGATTTTCCTCCTGGTGGGCTGACACCCCCAAGCCATCTGCTGCTCCTGTGATATGGTCACTGGCATCTAGGTGGTAAATACTCTCAACTACTTGGGTGTCGTCGTCCTTTTCTCCCTCACAGTATGCAAATTATTTATCTGATCATAATGTATATGGACTCTTTACTGGGTTAATCTTCAATATCAGTACCATCATTAGATCCTTTTCATCTTGATTAATTAGGTGACTCACAGAAGACTCTTTCAGCTGCCAGAATACAGGCAGAATCAGAGAGGAAGGGTGGACATTCACAGCTTGAAGAATGCATTTTCAGTATGGAAGTCCAACCCTAGGCTGGATACAGGACTTCTATTCCAGAATACTTATTTTCTGTCATGGAATAACCCTCTAGACTTATGTTCAGAGAAGGCAGTGGCCACTAACATACTAGTATTGTTACCAGAGGGATCTGGGATGAATATACTTCTGAAACATTTTTCAAACAGCCTTCATTATTTTGCTGTCCAGTCACCTTCATGCTTACTCCCAGAGTTATCTTTGCATTCTTGAAGGATCCTTAGAGCTAGCCTGTAAATGAGGCTGGTCTTTTTGTTTGCTTGTTTTTTTTTTTTTTCACTTTTTCACTGAGGAATCACAATTCCTCATTTGTGCCCTACACAGATCTGCTAAGTCAGTTGTGACTCATTCATCTGCTCTTTAATATGTAAATCTTAGTTGCTGCCTCCTCTCCTGTTCTAATCTTTTCCTTCAAATCCTGTCCTTCCCATCTGTTTAAATAGAGCAATAAGAACTTAATTAAGAAAGTTTTCTCGAGGACATGAAATCATATGTGAATTTATAGGCCCCCTGTACAGTATATCTTAATCATAATCATGCACATCTTCTTGCCTGTCACATTCATCCTAAAACCTATTTCTTACAGGCCACTCTCCCCAATACTCTTCAGAGTTTGCTTGTCTCACTAGCCTTTTACTCTTCTGTTCTTTAAGCTTTCAACCCCTAAGGTTGAAACCAAAGGTTGTAACCAAAACCTCCAAACAACTTCCTATCCCTACATCCTCTGGCCTAGACGTTCAGATGCCAGGTTACCATATTTGTGCTTCATCACCTATTTATCATCTCTGAGGTATATACGGCATTTTCTTATACCCTTTCTAATAATATTGGCAACAATAGTAAACAATTACTATGTATTATTCATTGTGTTTACTCACTGTAGTATGTAATTTATACATATGACTGTTTTGTTCTTTATCATAGATCCTGAGTGAAATGCATTCATTAGCTCCCTCTTGAACATGAAGACACAGGCTAATGGGAGGAAAAGAGCATCTCAAAAGATAATAAGAGACAGAGATGGAATTCAAGACTAGGTCAGTCCAAGTCTTTGTTCTTCCCATGAAACTATCCTACTTCAATGAAAGCATCAGAAAAGCTAGAAAGCAGATGAAGAGAGGACACCAATTACTAGAATTGGAAGGACTGAGTGGCTACCATCAAAGTGTACACTGTGAAGAATGGGGTAATGGAGAAAAAACTTTCACTAACTTCACACATTTGTACAACATTAACTCTTGTGATCTGTGCTGGTCTCTTGTTAATCACAGCTAATCCTTCAGAGCCAATTGAGATTCTTAATTCAAATTTATCATACCAATGGAGTCTTTGCTTCCCCCTGAAAGTTCACAAGCCAGACCTCCATGTCTGCATTTTTTTCAACACTGATATTTTCCAATATTCTACATAACAGCCCACTAAATTTTGACCACTCAATGGCTTTTCCAGCCCAAAGTTCTAAACATTTTCACAATTCTCCCCCAAACATAGTTAAGTTATTTACAGCAATACTCCACATTCCTGGTATCAGTTTCTGTCCTAGTTTGGTTTCTCTGTTGCTGTGTTAAAACTGACCAAAATCAATTTGGAAAGAAAAGGTTTATCTCAGCTTACATTGTACACTCCACCAAGAAAGGAAGCCAGGGCAGGAACTCCAGGAAGAACCTGGAGGCAGTAACTGAAGCAGAGGACATGAAGGAATGCTGCCTACTAGCTTGTTCCTTGTGGTTTTCCCAGTTTACTTTCTTATACAACCCAGGGCCACCTGCCCAGGGGTGGCACTGCCTATAGTGAGCTGGGCCCTTCCACATGGATCATTAATCAAGAAATGTCCCACAGACTTGCCTACAGCCCTTCCTGACAGATGAAATTCCTCAGTTGAAGTTCCCTCTCCCCAGATGACACTAGCTTATGTCAAGTTGGCAAAAAACTAACCAGACTATATCTTCAGTTAAACTGGAATGGTTATCTGCTGACACAGAAAGTAAGTTAGAATACCACTATTAATCTGCATGCTACATGTCAAAATGAATTAAAATGGTTTATCAGAGTTGTAAAAGATGCCTGCCTCTTTCATCTCTTCGGAAAGGAAGTTTGGAATCTATTATTCAATCTAAGACTTTTATATTGCTTTATAGCCTGGAGCAAAAGCAGTTATAAAGATAAGCCCAGATCAAGGAAGTATACAGTCATACTTTGTATGTCCAATATAAGGAATGATGGAAGAGTAAAATCCACATAGTAATGTATGGATTTCTCACTCAAGTTACAGTGAGTTCATGATATGGAAAGCCCACAGTTCCAAACACATGGCAATGATGGGCAAAATATAAAATGTAAGCTGAAAAGGGCTAACAATGATAAAAAATTTAAAAAAGACCATATAATTATCTCCATGTTGAAATATCAGGCTTACTGCTCTAGAAGCAAACTGTGGTAGATAGCAGTTAATCTCCTGAAAGGCAGAATGTTCCAAAAATATTCTTTGTAAAATGCTGGTCATAGGCCAGGTTCATTGTTTAAAGTGAAGGTATTTACAAATTCACTAACCCTTATCCATTGGTATTACAAAAATAAGGAGGGGGGTGGTAAAAAAGGAAACACCGTCAAGTCAGAAACTTCCAGGGTCTTTAGCTCTGACTAGGTACAGGGTTATGCAGGTCAGGCTACAAATAGAGCCTGGCCTCACAACTAGGAGATAAGTTCAACCAGCAGCTGGCTCTGAGTAGATCTCCCAAATGCCAAAGACAATGGGTTTGAATCTAACAACTGACTGGTATTTAGGAGTCTAGTTAGGAGGGGAAAATGCTGAATGAGTTGATTTCTTTCTACCAAGCTTCCACCTTGGGAAGAAGTAAACCTAGAAGAGTTGAATAACATTTTTTAGAAAACGCTTTTTATTACTTTTTAATGTTTGCAAACTATTTGTCAAACTAGATGATCATGGGACTTTTTTAAAAGATCTTGCTAAGCAAACTGAAAGTGGATCTGATGATTATTGTTATACTATGAATGGTTAGAGAGACTGTGTAAATGTGGAGATGGGAGGAAGTTAACATTTATTATGATATGGCATGCTAACTAGAAAATTTGGCTTTGGTGTCAGGTTTCTAAACTCTGTTCTGTGACCTTAGCTGAGGTGCTTAATCTCTCTTTACCTGTATGTTTTCCATTTATAGAATAGGAATGGGGCTGTTGTTCCCATTAAAAGCATTTTGAGCAGTGTTGCTGTTTGAATATGAAATGTGCTCTATAGGCTTATGTGTTTGAAAACTTGATTCTCAGTTGGTTGCACTATTTGGGAAGGTTGTGGGACCTTTAGGAGGTAGAGCCTTGCTGGAGGAAGTATGTCACTGGTGGTAGGCTTTGAGGATTTATAAGTAACCCCTAATTTCTGGGTTTTTTTTGTTTCCTGAGTGAGCAGCAGAATCCTTACAGGCTGTCTAATCCAAATTCACAGAACAAACTGAAGCTCAGCATAGGATTGGGGAATGCCTCAGGTCATTTAGTAGAGAAGGGAGGGAGTAAGGATTCAGCACAGGGCTCTGTGCTTGAGTGATTCTCAAACAACCTGGAGTGTATCAGAATTCCCTGGAGGGTTTTGCTGGTGTCTATTCTTAGAGAGTTGGGGGAACTTGGAGGAGTAGAGAGGGGGGGAGTGTAGCAGGACTCTTAAAAGTTCTTATTAATAAAATCAAACCTGTGGCCAGTTATTGGGGTGAATGCTGGAAGGTCAGAGAAGCAGAACAAGCCACAGCTAACCTCACCTGGCCAACTTCTCAGCTGGTCTTGTTTCCTCAGACTGGAAGCCTCTGTGTCCTCATCCAGAATGAATCTCAGCTGAACTGTGCTGTTCAAAACCTAAAAGCTTAACCAGCCAAAGGCTGCTAGTTTCTGATCCTCACGCCTTATATACCTTTCTGCTTTCTACCACCACTCCCTGGGATTAAAGGCTCGCTTTCTGGGATTAAAGGTGTGTGTCACCATGCCTGGCTGTTTCCAACGTGGCCATGAACTCACAGAGATCCAGAGGGATTTCTACCTCTGGAGTGCTAGGATTAAAGGTGTGACTGCCATCATTTTCTAGCCTTTGTATCAAGTGACTTTTCTGTCTCTGACCCCAGATAAGTTTATTAGGGTACACAATATTTTGGGGAACACAATACCACCACAGGGGAGGCTGCGGTCAGGATACATTGAATGAGAGAAGAATAAATTACAAAGTAAAAAGAGAGGTAGGAGTGGCACATTTGCCTACATCCTCAAATGATGATATAGCTAGCCTGAGGATCCCTCACAGCATACCAGAGTTCATTTATCATTTCTTTCTTTTCACCATGGAGTACAGAGTTTGCAATCTGTAGAAATTTGCACACAAAAGTGTAACAGATAAAGAAAAACATATAGCATTAAGAAGGTGAGATAAATGGCCAATATTTCCAAGTTGTGAGGGATTTTCCAGTTTCAAAAAGCTGATAAATTTTATTAAGTATACTAACAGATTATGAGTTAACTAGCTTTTTTCTTATTTTCTTTTTTCAACATTAGTTTTACATTTTTAATTGTTTGAGAATTTCATAGATGTATATGTTTTGATTAAATACACCCCCCCATTCTCTCCCATCCAATTCCGCTTGCCCACCACTTTTCCCTCAAACCTTGATGTGTTCTGTCTTTAAGTCTTTAAATCCAGAGTCTACTTAGTATTACTTGTATGTGCATGGGTGTAGGACCATCTACTGGGGCATGGGTAGCCTCTCAGGGACCATATTCCTGAAGAAAATTGCCAGTGGCCATGTAAGAGGAACAGCAAGTGGCAATTGAAGTTCGAGGTGTCAGCCCACCAGTAAGAAAATCCCTGATGGGTGAATCTCAGATAGGCAAGGCCCCCAAACCACAGACTGCAGAATGTCTTTTGCTTCTGCTGTGCCTTTACATGTTCGCTGCTGCCATCTTTCTCTGGTGTCTGGCATGGTATGATTGGGTGTGGAGAGATCCCCACTGCCTGTAATGTAGTGTTTATCTCATGGAAATATCCCATTCTACTGGGAATTTTTACCTGTGGATTAGTATGAAGATAATTTCTTCTTAAGTTGTACTGTCTAATTGATAATATTAGTTTAAATAGTTTTGATAATTAAAAATAAAACAAGGAAGTTTCACACAGCTAGAATACATGAGTTTCTATTGAGAAGCTGTATAGACTATGGCTTAGGTTAATGATTAAGAAAAACAATTGAGTCCCTGTGGCCCAGCTAGTTTAAATTCTTCTATCCTTAATGTTGGGAGTTGTGTTCATAGGTTTCAGAGTGCATCATAGCTGAAACAAGGCTTTGAAAATAACTTAAGATTAGACTAGATATTTTTGTCAAACTGTTTTGAGGTGAAAAACCCAAGAAGACAATCTAAAGTTTTAGAAAGGCACATAGTTGAATGAGGAACTCATTAAGGCCAGGGAACAAGAACAAAGCAGCCCAATTATTGCTAGTTAACACACTTTTCTTGCTAGGACTGGTTGATGAACAAGGGTGATGATTAATTTTTTTATACCCATTTCTGCCTTCAATCTCCTTATATTAAAAAAAAGCTATTAGTGAGTGGATATGCACCCTAAAGATTTAAAGTGGAGCTGACTGATTGTCTTTCATGTACAAAAGTTTAGATTTGTGATACCTTTAAGATTCCTTATAAGATTACCTTTCGCCGGGCGGTGGTGGCGCACGCCTTTAATCCCAGCACTCGGGAGGCAGAGCCAGGCGGATCTCTGTGAGTTCGAGGCCAGCCTGGACTACCAAGTGAGTTCCAGGAAAGGCGCAAAGCTACACAGAGAAACCCTGTCTCGAAAAACCAAAAAAAAAAAAAAAAAAAAAAAAAAAGATTACCTTTCAAAATAAGTAATAAATTGATTGGTCCTTTCTTTGTAACCACAAAACGCAGCCTGCCAGTAAAAGAACTGACTGAGAAGAATACCTTGCTTACTTACACTGTTAATATATAACAAGTTGCTTGGGTATGGATGTACATGGGTTCTTGGGATAATTTGCATTTCACCTGTAATACTTAAAATGTTTAGTCATGTTAAGGGATATGGAAAACATGCTGTTGTTTTTTACTTGTATTCATTTACTTGAAAAATAGAATGTAACCACATTGTAATTTTTATATTGCCTGAAAGATTTTACTGGGGTATATAAGCTGTAAGGGAAAGAATAAAGATAGACTTAAAATGAGTTAGAAAAAAAATCAAGAGTAAAGATAGAGTTAGAAGGAAAACATCAAAAATGAGAGAAGGAAATCACTAGGAAAATAAAGAATAGAGAATACAGAAGAAGAATAAAGCAGAAAACCATCAAGAGAGTGTGTGAGTGTCTTTCCCTTTACCCCTCAGCTAAAAAACATCTTAGTAAGCCAACTCCATGGATTCCCTTCAAGTCCTGTGCTGATGGAGGTTGGTCCCCCAGGCAGCAAAAGAAAACTATCTCTTCTTCCCCAAGCAGCTAACAATTGCTAATAACACTTCAGGTATGGGTTGGAATTCATGACTCTCTCCCTAATCCATGCTGGGCACTATGGCTGGTTTGGTCATTTGAAAATAGTCACAACAACTGTGAGTGCTGTGTGCAATGGCTTTGTCACGTCTGGCAAGTACTTTTCTTACAAAGTTCATTGAAGAGTGCAAGAATCCCCTCTTCCTAGATGGTTCCTGTGCCTTGTGCATGCGTGTGTGTGTGTGTGTGTGTGTGTGTGTGTGTGTGTGTGTGTGTGTGTGTGATATAGTTGTTCTACTTGGAGCTGAGACTTCCATAGGCAATTTTGCTTTGTATGTTGACCAGTTGTGGGTCTCTGTGTATTAATCACCACCTACTGCAAAAATAAATTTCTCTGATGAGGATTGGAAGATACCTAATCTATGAGTATAAAGACAAAAATTATGGGGCAGTTTATTACTATATCTATTTGTAAAATAGTAGTATTAGGTTCTCTCCAAGGGACAAAGATCTAGCAAGTCACCATTTTTTTTTTTGACCAGTAATGATACCAGGCATGAGTTCCATCTTGTAGAGTGGGTATTAAATCCAAACAGAAAGTGGTTGACTACTTCCATAGCATTTGTGCCAGTTAAAACAGTGGGATTATTTTGCCAGGTCAGTCATTATTATAGCTTGTAGAGTTAACATATGGGGATTCTTTTTTTCCCTTGGAGGTGTGCATAGTACCATCCAGCACTATAAAAGCTAGCCAGTAGGGTTGAAGCTTCACAGTTAGTAAAAGCTTGATTTCTGTATGTTCTACAACTCAAGTATGCAGTGTCTTCAGCAATAGGGTCTTATAATCTAGTTCTGGAGGGTAACCAGGAGCAATGGCAATAGCAAATAATGTTGGGGGGGGGTTATCTAAGGGACTCCACTGACCTACAACTTTAAAAGTGTTAACCATACCTGGGACTGAGGTTTTTATTTCATGGTATCTAGTACCTGGAAGAGACACTGTCTCCCTTATTATAGGTAACTCAATTTAAACACACACACACACACACACACACACACACACACACACACACACACACTTGTATTTTAGGAAGCTTCTACAGTAAGGGGTTTCCATATGGCTTTTCCAAAGGTCTTTAGTGTTAGTTATCCCACCCAATATTCTCTCTTCTACCTTGCCATCTGATCCCCACTCCACTTAACCTTAAACTCAATGGGTCACAATGATGACATGAGAGGAGGAGGAGGACTTGTTGGCAAGGAGAAGGGGTTTGGCTGAAGTAGGAGGGAGATAAGTGAGGGTAATGGGTATGGGGAGGTAAATATGATCAAAATACATTATATACATTTCTCAAATGATGAAAGAATAAAATATTTTTAAAAATCATCATATGCCTATGCCCCCCACCACTGAAACCATAAAGGAAGCAAAGCACTAAATTGTGTCTGGCAAAGTTTTGCAAATAACTTTTATAATATTTTAAGAGAAGGAATAAGAAAGGATCAGCAGAAATGGAGGAAGAGAGTTTATATTTGTAAATGCTATCCAATTGCCAAAATACAAGTTTGCTTAGTAATATCAAGTACTCTGGAGGCACACCATCTACCATGATGTGTAGATGTAACCGTCTTGTTAAATAAGAAACACAGAGCCAATTGCAAAGTTAGATGCCCAAGAGGTCAGAGCAAAAGCTAAGAGCTAAAATCCTCACCCTTCACTGCTGCTGCTGTCCTCCTCAGCAAGAGAGCTACTTCCTGTGTATCTGTCTTTATATAGACTTTCTGTTCTGCCTTCTCATTGGTTGTAAACCCAACCACATGACCTCCTCATCACTGCCCATCTATACAGACCTCCAGGTCTTCTATGGTTGGTATTGAGATTAAAGGCATGTGTCTCCATGCTGGCTGTATCCTTGAACACACAGAGATCTGCCTAGTTCTGCCTCCCAAGTGCTGGGATTAAAGGCGTGCACCACCAACGCCCAGCTTCTGCTATGGCTTGCTATTAGCCCTGACCCCCAGGCAACTTTATTTATTAACATACAAATAAAATCACACTTTAGTACAAATAAAATGTCACCATAATGATGAGTTCCCTGAATACTCAAACCCAGTAACCCTTTGGACTCTCAGTGGTGTGTGTGTGTGTGTGTGTGTGTGTGTGTGTGTGTGTGTGTGTGTGTGTCTAAGAATTACATGAGACCTCAAAAGTCTCTGCAATCTGTCTGCAATTATTCCTCTTGTAAACACCAAACTGATGATGGCTTTATTCCAAGAGTTGTCATGACTCCTAATTTAATTTCTTGAGAGATGATTTAGATGGAGACAACGCTTCCAGGATGATAAAACATATGTGAATTCCATTTCCATCTCATTATCGAGTTTGTGCTACCAACTGATTCTGACAGTGTCTGGAGATGTCCTGTAGGAGACTGCAAATTCTCCTTTATTCATGGTAGACTACAAGACAAAGGTTTAAGGTTTCAGCTAAGCCCTTTAATGTGCTAACATAATTAAAAGACTGACCCAAAGAACCAAGCCTCTAGTCCATTGCTTGTCAAAGTACTGTCTACAGATACATGCAATGGGGTTTCTAGGTACCCTTTTTAATGGGCTTTTGAGATTAAAAACTATTTTTATAGCAATACTAAGGTGTTACTTTTTTTCATTCCCATTGTCTTGCCAGTTCAGTGGCATGACATGTTATAATGGCATGTACCTCATAACTAACGGACTGGTACTTTTGTCTTTTTAATTTTTAAACATTTCTTGCTCTCAGTGTCTAATACAATTAGTATTTGATGTCATCCATATTCTTTGGGGTCCTTGATAACTTAAAGTCCTCGATAACTTAAAGGATGTTAAGGTGCTTTTGCATGGCAAAAGATACAGAAGTATAGCAGAGTTAAGGAAAACCTATAGAATGAGATAAATGGTTTGTTAACTACACTTCTGAAATGGTAAGGCTGTTTAAATATATAGGGGACTTCAAAAATTCAATAGTTAAAGTATAAACAACTAATTAAAAGTTGGCAAAAATTCTAGATTGACATTTCTCAAGAGAACACATGAAATGGTCAAGAGGTATCTGAAAAGTTGCTAAACATCACTAGTCCTCAGGAAGAAGCCAATTCAAACCACAATGAGATATCATTTTGATCTAGCTAGAATTGCAATAATCAGCACCAAAAAGCACAAAAGTTAGTGAGGCTATATGCTGAAAATAACACTATTGTACTAACAGTGGTACTGAGGACAATTTTAAGAGCCATGCCATATTGCCTGCCTGAGTTAAGTTTCTGTTGTCCAGTATTGAGCCACTAATCAGAAACTTTTGACATGCCTGGACAAGTCCTGAGTTATTAGAAAATAACTTAACATTTCCTTATCTTTCTGCTACAGTGACCATTAGTAACAATGTTTTGTGGTTAGGTTGCTTGGTTGGGTTGCTTGGCAACTCAACAGTCCCCTAATCTTTTCCCAAAGAAAGTTTCCTGCTTACTATAAAACCCACCTGAAAAAAATAAAATTTTGCAGCTTGATCAGAATACTGTCTTACTGTCAATTCTTTGTGTCTCTTGTCCCTTTCATTCGCCATTCCCCCTTCTAGGGTCTCTGCTGAAGATCCCGCTGGCCAGGACACAGTGGGAATGTAAATTAGTATAGTCTTTATGGGAAACAGTACAGAGCTTTCAAAAATGTTAAGATATAAAACTATTGTATTATCCATATGCCCTTTCTGGGTATATTACATACCAAAGGAAAATTAAACCTGTGTATCACAGCATATCTGCACACCCATGTTTGTCAATATATTATCCATAGTAGCTAAAATAAGGAATCAACCTTGTTTTCCATTAACAGGTAACAAAAATGTGGCACAATGGAATACTATTCAGTTTATTCATTAAAAAGAAAAGCAATATCCCATCATCTGCTGAAATTGGAAGTAACTGAAAAATATCATAGGATATATTCAAAATAAAAGTAAGCACATATTATTAGTCAAATGAATTATAAAAGATGAAAATTTTTTACACATGTTGCTTTATCAATACTTTATCATTTCTAGAATGCATTGCATTCTGATTTAGCTGAAGACAAATTACATAATATTATTGGTTTCCTTTTAGTATGACAATTACATTTCTTAAGTACAGTGTTTATAATTACATCAAAAAGTTTAGGAAAAGAGTAGGATCATACTATAACTTGGGAAGATAGCTACCCTACTAGATGGCTGACATTAGATAACTCAGAAGTCCCCTTTCTTTAACAGGTTTCTCCTAGTAAAGTAAGAAAAAGCTTCTGTTTTATGGAATGGGAAGGAGACAATGTAAAACAAATTTTGATACAATACTGTTGTGTTGATACAAAATTCTGGTAGCAGAGTGCCAACTGTACTTATAATCCCAGTGCTTTCAATTTTAAGCATGAAGCCCCAAGAAACGAGCAGTGTTCAATACATCATCTCTTGTTAAATAGCAGCCACAGAGTTGGCGGTAACCAGTGAATGATTCCCTGCCATGAAGGACTCGCCAATTGTCTATAAATAGTACCTGTGAGTGTATAAAAAGAGAAAACAATCAGAACTAGGGCAAATCATAGGGAATCTAAATCAGAAGAGATCACTGAAAGATTGTTCTATGGGTTACATTTGATGAAATATTTTTTTTTTAAAGTTAAGCAAACTAAAGGGAAAATAAGATGTGTCTAACCCCACAGCAGGCTAAATAGCAAAAGAAAATAATTTATATGTTCTGCACCTGGGGAGCTTATATTCTTTGAGCAACTATCTTTTCTTCAAAGTAAATCAGGTTTCTTCCTTTATAATCCTCAGTTTATTCTTTCTCAATTATATTTTGTGTAAAGCTGAAGATATTTAGTTAGAGAATATATCAAGGTTTAAAATGGAATTATTAAGTTGGAAGGATCCTAGTTAAATCCCTTCATCATTAAAGTAAGTGTCTGATGTATAGAGATGGCATGTTGCCTGCTTCCAGATCATCAATGAATGAATGGCATGACCAGGAACAATACCTAGGACTTAAGAAAAAATTTTTTCCTTTGTAATATGGTGACACATATTAAACAAGTATCATTCTTCACTGATTTCTTATGGCAAGTTTACTTGATATCTTTATAGAGTTTAGGGCCTACCTTTCCAGGCTTCAGTTTGACCCAGAGCTCATTTTCAGGCCTTCTCAACTCAGTTGTTAGGGTTCGGTGTGCTATATACCAACGATGGACAACATCATAAGGCACGGTGTTGATGACAGCCCGGTCATAGTTGTTGTACCTTATATAGAATCATGAGAAATAAAGATCTCTGACACATGATAAAGACATTTACTGTTTACTGAACTGTTTTAGATAATGCTGTCTCTATTTGTTCCATACTTGAAACAACAGTGAATCAATACACTCTTAGGAATACAGCATCAGAGATAGGAATTCCACTATGGCTGGTCATATTTTGGTTTTTCTTTGGAGACTCTGGGGGCAGGGAGTCAAAGTTAAATTTCAGCTGATTTCTCCCATCTCAGGATATGGTGTTTTATCTGAAGTGTGTTTCATTGAGTAAGTACTTACTGGTCAAAGGGTACTAAATCAATAGCAGATTTGAACTTTTTACATTAAACTAAGAAGGACAACATAAGCTGTATAAACAAAGCTATCTTTAAAAAAAAACAGAATAAGATAATTCCACAAGTATTTCCTTTTATTGGACAAATACTAGAGCATTTATAGAGCAAATATAGAGCAGTAGACAGTTTTACTCAGAGATCTTCATTCAGTCTATTATTCATTCAACACTAGCACTTACATGAGCACCTGCCATTGCCAAGTAGTTTATTAGGAAATAAATATGTAATGATGAACATAGGAGACATGATCCCAGCTTTTGGGAAGTTTATATTCTATTAAAGATGCAAATTTATAAATGCAACAAATATAAATAAGATAATTTCAGCTAGCTACAGATGCTGTGTGAAAATACCGTGATATGTGTTTAAGGGTAACTGAAAAATTTGTTTTTGGGTGCTGAAGGAATTTTTGGAGAAGTGACACTGGAGATGGTGCCTGTATGAATAGAAATCAAGTATACGACAAGCTGAAGGAAGTGCATTAGGCAGAGAGAATAGCAAATACAGTCTTGGGATACAAAGACATTTTATTATGTTTACAGACCACCAAGCAGGCCATGTGGCTTGTATTAAGTAAGCAAGGATAATTATGATTGAAGAAATTAAATAGAGGAAGTAGCGAGGGGCAAGATTATATATATAGTCATGAAGGGTGTGGTAAGGCCTTGGACTTTATCTGCTTACTATGAGGACCACTGAAAATTCTTAAGATGTTTTTCTGTTCAGCTGTGGTACGCATACCTCTAATCATAGCACTAAGGAGGCACAAGCAGGTGGATCTCTTTCAGTTTGAGGCCAGCTGAGGCTACATAGTTGTACCCTGTCTAAAAGAAAAGGTAATTAATTTTTTTTTATTGAAGTATACTACACATAGAAAACTACACAAATAAATCTTGATGAATTTTCATGATGGCGTGGCATTCAAATCACTACTAATGAGATACACCAATTATTGCCAGAACACTAACATTTTCTTGAGCCTTTTTCCAGTCACACTCTTTCTCCTACCCAAGGGTAACTACCATTCTGATTTCTATTACTAAACGTTGTTTATAAAAAGTTTCATAAAAATGGAATCATTTGGTATTTCCTCTTTTGTGTCTGGCATCTTTCATTTAATATTACATTTATGAAATTCATTTGGTAGTATTCATTATTGGTGCTGTATGGAATTTAATTGCATAACATAATTTATTCATTCTACTGTTAATGAACATTTGAGTAGTTTCTACTTTGGAACTATTATAAGTAGTGCTTCCATGAACATTCTATTACTTATCTTGGTAAATGTATGTATTCACTTTGTTTGGTATAAACTTAAGGATGGAATTTCTGGGTTATAAGGTATGTGTTGTGGAATATTAGTCTAAGATGTGTTACATTTGTTTATGCTGTAGAATATTAGTTTAAGATGTGTTATATTTGTTTATGCTGTGGAATATTTGTTTAGCGATACAAAGATGTGTTGCATTCCTTTATGTTGCATTTGTTTAACTCTGCAAAGCTGTGTTACTTTGCCTAAAACACGCAATTGGTCTAATAAAGAGCTGAATGGCCAATAGCTAGGCAGGAGAGATAAATAGGTGGGGGCTGGCAGAGAGAATAAGAAGAGAAGAAGAAGAGAGATGAGGGAGGAGGGAGAAAAGGAGGAGAGGAGGATGCCAGGGGCCAGCCATCCAGTCACACAACGAGCCATGGAATCAGAAGAAAAGACACATAGAATAAAGAAAGGTAAAAAGCCCAGAGCCAAAACATAGACGAGAAATGGGTTAAGTTGTGTTAGAAAAGCTTAATAGAAACAACTCAAACTAGAGCCGGACATTCATAAGTAAGAATAAATTTCCGTGCATTTATTTGGCAGCTGGGTGGCAGGCCCCCAAAAGAGTGAAAACCAACCAACTACATTTTGTCATTCCAATGTGAGGCTCAAATTTCTATAGGGCCTGAGAAAGCTTAAAAAAAAAAGAATGACACGGCTCCTTTAAGAGTTTCTGCTGTACAGTGAGCCCTTGAGAAGCCAGTACATTAAGTAGGAACAAAAACCTAAGTTAAAAAATGCCTTCCACAGTTCAGAGCACTGGCATTCCAGAACTGGGGGATTGAATGCAGTTCCAGGTCACACACCTCCAACTGGGCCCTTTAGGCTTGGCTTTCATGGACCCCAGAAGCAGGTGGAGCCAGCCACCAAAACCTTGGTGGAGGTACTAACTGTGCCACTTAGCTTTTTAAAGGCTCATGTGGTCAGAAAAGGATAGAGATATGCAGTAAAGGTATATTCAGATGGGAAAAAAAACCTCTCAACAGGTTCCAGTGTGTTTAAAAATGTGCAAAGGCTTAAGAAAGAAAAGAGAAAGAGTATAGACAGTCATAGAAAGGAAGAGTTTAAAAATAATAAAGTCTTTAAAGAAAGAGTAAAAGTAATATAAAAGAAAAAAGCCACATAACAGTGGGGAATACACAGGGAGTCTGAATCCTATATAGTATTGTGTTGACTTTGAATTTTTTGATTGCTGATAAGCAAACAACAGCTGCTAAGAGACATGGGATCGAAAGAGGGACTGATGAAATAAACCAACCTGGATAAACAAAAATGCATTGCTTTGGAGAAGGTTTTGCTTTTATTTCCACAGGAAATGAGAGGCCGTGGATTCCTTCAGGGTTGATATGGACCAGATTTGATCAGGGAAGACCTCCTGAATCTTGACAGGTGATATCTGTCAACAAAGCCTGGTCTTCCTAGGACCTGACCATTATCTCAATTTCCTCAGGGACCTCTAAAGATGCCTTCACCCAGACAACAGGAAGCAATCTGTAGAACATGATGCCCACATTCCCAAGAGATGGGATGGATGGTTGTTGGTTATTTGGTGGGTTATGGATGTTTGTTATCATTTAGGAAAATATAGGAATATAGGATAAAAAGACAACTATTAATCTCAGATATTATGCATTGGCATGGATTTTGGTATATTGTTACAGATTTAAAGTTATTTTTGTTATACTGTACATATGTTTCTACTCTTGTTTGGGGTATTGTACTTATGTAGCTCATTTAAAAATGCAAATGTATAATTAAGAAATGAGGTTAGTAGTTAATCTATAATAATCAAACTTGTAGTCACATTAGGTATGTTTTCAAGGTCAAATACATATATTTTAGACAGATAGATGATTTTTCAAACACTTCAAAGACCTACAGAATATGGCATTTAAGATATTTTAATAATATGGCAATTAAGATATTAATGTTCAATAACCTAAGGTTTTTCATGACAATGAGACACATCTGCTCCTGGCAGCAGCAATTTACTTCATAAAAGGATGATGGGCATTCAAGAAACTCCATATGGAGTTTGCTTTCAATGTCACAAGGCTAGCCATTTGGGCAAGAAACTGTTCTTGCCTTGACTGCTGACAGTATGCTGTACAGACTGGACAAGCGAGACACAGGAAAAGGACTGTTGAACTCTGCCAAGACAAGGCAGGACAGTTCTTTGAGATTCCTGCTTCACAGAAGAATCTGCCAGATATTCTGCAGGACACAGAGGAAAGCAACTGATGAGCTTTACCAATACAAGGCAGGACAGTCCTTCAAATTTCTGCTTCACTGAAAAGTCTGCCAGATATTCTAGGCCTGTAGACTGAAGATGGATGTCCCAATGTTGTAGAGGAACTTCGGGTGACTGTCCAGACAGCCAGATGTCTCTGTTGTTAGGTAATATTACATCCTTCTGGGGTTGTTGGTGGAGTTAAAGAGTAAATATTTAGAGTTATAGTTTTCCTTAGTTATGATAGAAAGTAAATTAGGTGTAAAACTTTGGAATCACTAAGATAAGATAGATAATGGAGTATTTTCTCTGACTTTGCTAAATACAAATGGACTGAATATTGTAAATGTAATTCTTACTTGATAACTGTTTTTGTTGTATGTGGTTTTATTATGTTAAAATTAAAACCTTTCATTTTTATTTAGACAAAAAGGGGGAAATGTTGTGGAAAATTGGTTTAAGATGTGTTACATTTGTTTATGCTGTGTAATATTTGTTTAATTATGCAAAGATATGTTGTATTCTTTCATGTTGCATTTGTTTACCTCTGTGAAGGTGTGTTACTTTGCCTGCCCCAAACACCTGAATGGTCTAATAAAAAGCTGAACAGCCAATAGCCAGGCAGGAAAGGGATAGGAAGGGCTGCCAGTCAGAGAAAATAAATAGGAGGAGAAAGAAGAATGAGAGAGAGCGAGGAGTGAGAAAAGGAGAGGAGGATGCCAGCCGCCAGCCACCCAGTCATATAACCAGCCACAGAGTAAGAAGGAAAAAAAAGACATATAGAATAAAGAAATCTAAAAGTCCAGAGGCAAAAGATAGATGAGATATTTTAAGAAAAGCTCACTAGGAATAAGCCAAGCTAAAGCAGGGTATTCACAAGTAAGAATAAGTCTCTATGTATTTATTTGGGAGCTGGGTGGAGGGCTCCCACAGAGTTAAAAAAATAAACTACATTTTACTACAGGTATGTATATTGTCAGATTTTAGTAGACACTGCTAAAGGTCTTCCTTTAAAAGAGAAATAATGCGGGCAGTGGTGGCGCACGCAATTAATCCCAGCACTTGGGAGGTAGAGGCAGGTGGATCTTTGTGAGTTCGAGGCCAGCCTGGTCTACAGAGCGAGATCCAGGAAAGGCACAAAACTACACAGAGAAACCCTGTCTTGAAAAACAAACAAAAACAAAACAAACAAAAAAAGAGAAATAATGGTTTCAGATGGCATTTGCTGGTTTTAGTATATAGCATAATTAGAACCAATATTCTTTTTTCCTCATATGTTAAATAAACACCTGCTTAGCGGACCTCACAGGACCACTATCAGTGAATCAAATGAAAGACCATAATGAATAGTGATTCCTCCCAGGCTTTTAGGAGCCATGTCCATATGAGGAAGACAGTGAGGAAACATGGTGTTGACACTCAATACTATTTCTAGAGGCTTCAGTCCTATATATTTGGTAGCTATATAAATACTATTTTGTTGGCTTATTTCTCTATCCCAGAAGGAAAACTGTTATTAGCCACCTTTTACACATAAGGCAACTGAAACTTGGAAAAGAATGAATCTGCCACAGCTTACTATTTTAGGTAATTGGATCTCTCTAATATTTTACTCATTGTTGATAGCACCATGCAGATAGAATTATCCAATTCCTGTGAACACTTGCTCATAAGGCTATCCTAAAAAAGTATCTATAACAGTAGCTAAAATGAATACAACTGACAGCACCAAGTACTGGTAAGGACTTGAAACAGATGTAACTTTCATCCTTTCTTTATGAGGGTATAAAATGGTACAACTAGTTTGGCAAAACATTATTTACTGAAATTAAACATTCTTGGATTCTATGACATATCTGTGCTATTCTGTGATTATTAACACTGATTATCAAGTTGACAGAATCTAAAGTCACCTGAGAGACAAACTTTTGGGCAAATCTCTGAGGGTGTTTCCAGAGAGGTGTAACTGAGTAAGGAGGCCCCACCCTGAATGTGGATGGCACCATTTCATGGGCCAGACACCTGAATTAAATATAAAGGAGAAAGTGGGATGAGCACCTGCATTCATATCTCTCTGCTCCCTGACTGTGGTTTATAACCTGCTACCTCACTCTCCAACTATGAGCCAGAATAAACCCTTCCTTCCCTGAATTGCTTTTGTTAGGTATTTTGTCATAGCAATGAGAAAAGTAACTAATACACATCCATATGTATTTATGTGATTGAAATGAAAATATATATTCACAAAAGTACTTTTATGGAAAATTTTATAGCAATTTCAATCATAATGAAACTAAATTAGAAACAACTTAGATATAATTTTTTATATCTTATTTATATCTTATCATTTAAACCAACAAAACAAACAGTGGCTTCCTTTGGGACTATATATGCAGGGTCTGACAGGAAAATAGAAAGGTACTTCCTCTATTGAGGATAATATTTTAAATATTGATATAGATTCATGACACAGAAGTATATTCATTTCTCAGATCACCATAAGTTTGTATTTAACATTTTAAAACATTACTATATATACTTTTCACTTGAAAACAAAAAGGTATAAAACCATACTGAACTCTATTTTATATAAATATTAAAGTATTTTAGTGTGAGATATACTCATTTCTACAATATACTTTAAAATGCTTCAAAAAACATGATCAATTGATGGTTGGATAGATGGTGTCTTAGGGTTTCTTTTGCTGTGGTGAAACACCATTACCAAAACAACTTGGGGAGGAAAGAGTTTATTCAGCTTACACTTCCACATTTCTGTTTACCACTGAAGGAAATCAGGACAGAACTCAAACAGGGCAGGAACCTGGAGGCAGGAGCTGATGCAGAGGCCATGGAGGAGCGCTGTTTACTACTGGCTTGCTTCCTCTGACTTGCTCAGCCTGCTTTCTTATAGAACCTAGGACCACCACCCCAGGGATGGCACCACCCACAGTAGACTGGACCTTCCCACATCAATCATTAATTAAGAAAATGCCTTACAGGTTTGTCTAGAGGCCAATCTTATTGAAGCATTTTCTCAATTGAGATTCCCTCCTCTCAGGTGACTTCTAGCTTGTGTTGAGCTGACATCAAAACTAATCATGACAGATTGACAGAGAAATGGAGGGTTCCATGATAAAACAAGAATAGTAATATCTTAATGGTAGGAAGTTGGTGGAAGGGTGAGCTTTTCCATATTAAATGATTTTAATTTTCAGTGTGTTAAGGTGTTCATAATAAAATGTTGGACATACTTCTTATTTTATATAGTGGGTATACAAGAGATGACTGAGGGAGTATTTCTGGGAAGAACTTATCCAAGAAAAATGAATTACTATTGACATAATTCCTTCTGCCTTCCAGGGTAAAGGTTAGAGATGACAACTTATTTTTAACAATGGGTATGGTTGGTATTATTTAAACTCAAAAACTCATGACAAATAGGTTAAATGACTTGGTTAAGGCTGCAAAGCATTGACCTTTCCTGTACTACATTGTTACCTTTGCAGTTCTTGTCAAGCTGCCTCTGTACTCCACATCTCCTTCATTACCATTTGATATAATTTATATTATATTTGCTTTTAAAAATAAAATAGCTTCTTCTATTAGAATGAGAATTATATCACAACCATGAATTTTCTAATGTTTTTCTCACAATTATTAACTGTGGCATCAAAAGCAGTGCCTGTATCTTTGTAGATACTCAAGAAATGTTTGTGGAAGAATGATGTCCTGTAGAAGTTAGCTTAAATGGAAGTAAAATAATATAAAAAATCTTGGCTGCAACATAGAAAACAACTTAAAATCTAAAGCAATGTAGTATGTCCTGGGCAGAATTTGTATAGGAAACATGAGTTGTATTAGTTGAAGCTACAACAACAAAAGGGGGCAGGCCATGCAAAATTGTGTAAGTTATGAGAATAACTTGGTTCTTTGGAAGATACCGAGTGGATCTAGGATTTTCACAGGAGAATGATAAAGTAAGATTTGTATTTCAAAAAAATTACTTTAGGGCCTGTGAGATGGCTCAGCAGGGAAAGTCACTTGCTGTACAAGTATTTATATATATATATATATATATATAAATAAAATACAATATATTTAATATACATTGTATTTATACATTATATAATATATATCTACACACAGGTGCACACACGCGCGCACACACACACACACACACACACACACACACACACACACACACACACAGAGGCCTGACTTCAATTTCTTGATCCAATGCTGAGAGAACCAACCCCTGAAAAGTGTTCCTGTGACCTTCACACATATGCAATGGCATATATACACTTACATATTCTCACACATAAACACACAATAATAAATAAAATTTTAAAAGATTTCTCTAGCTATAACACAAAATGTATAGAAGGTGGGTAAGGGTGAAATCAATGGTACTGTGTAGAGGTGATGGTGGTCTCACACAAAAGGTGGTATTGTGAATAGGAAGCACTGGGTACTTTGAGGAAAAATTATTAGGTAAATCTAGTTAGATTGGTTGCATAGTGTGAGGGAGATAGACTGGTTGAAGGTGGCTTTTAGTTTTTTCTTTGGGCAATTTAGTGTGTATATCATTCAATGAAACATGAGCAAATATGTAGACAGGTGAGCTTAAGGTGAGTGGAGACTCTGAACTAGATTTTGAATATGATACACTGTATGTTCTATAAGACAGCCAAATGATGATTCCAGGAGATAGGTGGATATATTAGTCAAGAGCTTGATATATAATAAATATATCACATGGGAGAATAGTTGTTTGGTACTCACCTGATCAAATAGAGCTCTTTATTCCATGGGTAGATATTTAAGACTGGCCCAACTCCAATCATGTGGTTGTGACATTCTCCAACATTTTCAATATACTCATGCTTCAACGGCACTTTGCTGAGGAGTTCAAATTCCTTAGGTGCTTTTTGAAGTACTTGTTGTGCTGCATAGAATCCATCTACTAACAGTGTCCTGCCACCTGTTCCTTCATGTTTAAGACAATGAAATACTTGAATGCTAAAGAAAGCAAAGTAAATTCTTTTGTTCAGTGGATAAAAGAAAACATACTGAAATTATAGTATATTATATCAGAAATGACTACTGAACCTACTTTGGTAATTTTAATGAAGAAAGAAATCTATTTCCTAATTGTTTTTCCCTTATAGAAAGTTGTACCTTTTTTACTCTTAAATAATATTGCTACATATTTATTTCAAAGATGTATAATATGTATTAGGGTATATATATGCCAGGAAAGACATGGGAATATAGACATGAACAAGATATAGTATCTGTTTTGAAGAAGCTCATAATCTAGTAAGAAGAGATGAAGCTAGTGTGAATAACATTTGAATAAAAAATAAAGTTTTACACAAGTTGTAGTGAGCTCCATAAAAAAGAAAAAATATTTATTTTAGTAGGAAAGGTGGGTTTTTTGTTGTTGTTGGTGGTGGTGTGTTTTTCCATTTGTTTTATTTTGTTTAGACAAGGTCCCATGTATACTAACTTGGCCTCAAATTTACCATGGAGCTGACAAGGATAGCCCTCTTAAGTTCTGGGATTACAGGCATATTGCTGTGGATATCGCTCTGTATAAATAAAATGCTGATTGGCCAGTAGCCAGGCAGGGAGTATAGGTGGGACAAGCAGAGAATTTTTTCTGGGAACAGGAAGGCTGAGTCAGGAGATGCTGTCAGCTGCCGCCATGAGTACCAACATGTAAGATACTGGTAAGCCACCAGCCATGTGGCAAGGTATAGATTTATAGAAATGGGCTAATTTAAGATAGAAGAACTAGATAACAAGAAGCCTGCCACAGCCATACAGTTTGTAAGCAATATAAGTCTCTGTGTGTTTACTCGGTTGGGTCTGAGCAGCTGCAAGACTGGCGGGTGAGAGAGATTTGTCCTGACCATGGGCCAGGCAGGACTGGAGAAAACTTCAGCTACAGCATATGTCACCACACATCAATCATGCTGGTGCTGGGGACTGAACCCTGGGCTTTGTATATGGTAGGCAGGTACTCTACCAACTGAGCTATATCTTAAAACAAAACAAAACAAAATTTTGTTTTAGTTTTACTTCTTTCTGGAATGGGGAGGGTATTTGATTTTGTGTGCCAATGCACACAAGAGTAGGTAAAAAGATAACCTGTGAGAGGCACTTGTCTCCTTCCACTATGTCTTAAATAGGGTTACTATTGCTGTGAAGAGACTCCGTGACCACAGCAACTTTTTTTTTTGTTTTTTCAAGACAGGGTTTCTTTGTGTAGCTTTGCACCTTTCCTGGAACTCACACTAGCCCAGGCAGACCTCGAACTCACAGAGATCCACCTGCCTCTGCCTCCTGAGTGCTGGGATTAAAGGCATGTGCCACCACTGCCCAGCCACAGCAACTCTTATAAAGAAAACATTTAATTGGGGTGTGTAGTCAGAAGGTTCTCTGGTCCTGCCCAGCCCCACAGTCCCTCAGCTGTTTATAAAATAATCATTCAGAGGCTTAATATTATTTACAAACTGTATGGCCTATGGCAGGCTTCTTGCTAGCTAGCTCTTATAACTTAACTTAACCCATAACTATTAATCTATAAGTTGCCACATGGCTGTGGCACTACCAGTCTGCTGGCATCTTGATGCCCCTTCCATGGTGGCAGCTGGTGTCTCTCTCTCTCTGCCCTTCTTCTCTCTGTATCTCTGCTTGGATTTCCTGCCTGGCTGTAAGCTTTCTTACCATAGGCCAAAACAGCTTTATTTACTAACCAATGGGAACAGAATATATTCACAGCATACAGAAAGACTTCCCCCAGCACTTCCCCTTTCCTATCTAATCAAAAAGGAAGGTTTTAGCTTTAATATAGAAAAAATATATATAAAAACAGTTATCAAGCAAGAATTACAGTTATATCTAGTCTATCCACAGGTGGGGCCAGAGAACCTTCTAACTACAGGGGTGGCTCGCTTACAGTTTCAGAGGTTCAGTCCATTATCATCATTGTGGTAAGCATGGAGGCGTGCAGGCAGACATGGTGCTGGAGCTGAGAGTGCTACATCTTGACAAAAAGGTAGCAGGAAGTCAAATGAAAGTCACACTGAGGGAAGCTTGAGCAAAAGAGACCTCAAAGCCTGCCCCCACAGTGATACACTTTCTCCAACAAGGCTATACCTCCTAATAATGCCAGTCTCTTTGGGGGCCATTTTCTTTCAAACCACCACACATTACATGGTTTTTAGGGCTCAAGCTCAGGTAATCAGGCTTAGAGGCAAGAACCTTTACCTGATGAGCCATTTGCCAGCCACACTCAACTTTAAAAATGCCAATATTTAACAATTTAAGAGCATTCTGTGGTTCTCTATGCTACAACAACAGGAACTGCATACTCTTTTCCTTGAATATGCCTTGTTGATTTATACCACTATATTTGGTTATGGTTTGCCTCTTCCTAGGGTCCTTTCTCCATGCTTCAATATCATTCCAGTTAAATTCTTATTTGTTATTTAAGACTAAGCAAAGCTGTTTATGTTTATTGACATCAACATAGACTCCAGCTGTGATGGAACCAAGACCCAGATAGGGCCAGCAGCAGCAACTTGGGCCTGGATGTCACCATGGCCCCAAGTGGCAGCACAGGCCTCTCAGATTGGCATGGGCTCAGCAGCAGCATGGTCTCTGGTCTCCAACATGGCCCCAGGTGGCAGCACAGGCCTCTCAGATTGGCATGGGCTCAGCAGCAGCATGGTCCCTGGACTCCAACATGGTCCCAGGTGGTGGTCCAGACCCTGGGCAGTCACATATGGCTTTCAATGGTAACAGAAGCCACATATCTCAACATAGACACTGGTTGCAGTAGGGCCATGGACCTAAACATAGCCCTTGGCAGCAGCTCAGGTCTGGATGACGCCATGGCCATGAGTGGCAGGGCAGACCACTCAGGTTGGCATGGACCTGGCAGCAGCACATTCCTTGGACCCAACAAGGCCACAGGTGGAAGCCCAGAGGCCAGGCATCCTTGTAGCCTTTGGTGGCAACATGGGCCATGGACATTTACACAGACCATGGCTGCAGTAGGACCATGTTAGTCACTTTTCTATTGCCATGATAAAACACTATGACCAAAGCAACTTATAAAAGAAAGCACTTAATTTGGGGCTCATGATTCCAGGGAGTTAAGAGCTGTGACCATCATGGTGAGGAGCATGGTAGCAGGAAGGCAGGCATGGTACTAGAGAAGTAGCTAAGAAAGGCTTGCATCTTAATGTATAAGCATAAGACACACATACACGCACACACAGAAAGAGATAAGTAGGAATGGCATGGGCTTTTTAAACCTCAAATCCACCCCAGTAATATACTTCCTCCAATAAGGCCACGTCTCCTAATCCTTCCTAAACAGTTCTACCAACTGGGACCAAGGATTCAAATATATGAGCCTATGGAGGGAAGCATCATTCTAATTCAATAAGCACAATGCTTATATAACAACAACAAAGAAAAAGAGGCTGTGGTTTAAAGTGGGGTGGGGTACATCAGAGGGATTGGAGGGTAGAAAAGGAAGGGAGAAACAATGTAATTATATTTTAATATATAACTTAACAGCAATTTATTGAAACATGTAAAAATATGGGAAAATATACCATAAAGTAAAACAAGCAAGACATATAAGGAAAGATAAAGGAATAAAATCAAGAAGAATCTAAAGGAAATACAATTAAAATGTGAAAAGTAATTTGTGATCATATGAAACTTTCTGTGAAACTTTTAGGTCTGTATTATTTAGCAGTTACTTAAAAATGTTTAACTCAGAAGAGAGGTAGATTTTGTGATCTATAGGTGATAAAAAGCAACAAGATGGAAGCAGTCATTTGGAAGGCTTATCTTAAGTATGAAAGCCTTGAGGAATAGTACCATTATGAAACTCATTACTATTTATAATAAATACATAAAAATAAAATTTATATTTAAAAATATATTGATATTCCATTTCACTTCAGTCAGAGTAACTATCAAGAAAACAAGATTCCGGCATGGAGTAGGAAGGGGTTCATGAACCCCTACCCCTCACTGTGGAGCTATGGACAGCTGATGGCTTCTATGGGAGGGAGAGACAGTTGTCTTTAATAGTGTAGTTCTTAGTATATGGACAGCACAAATTGGAGTTGATAGGCTATATTTATAAAAGCCATAAAATTGGGGTCATAGGGAGTTAGGGGTGGATCATGGAGGCATTGGAATTGAATATGATAAAAAATACACACTATGAAATTCTAAAGCATTAATACAGTGATTTTAAAACAAGAAAACAAACAAATGCTAGTGAGGATGTAGTGAAAAAGGAACTCTAATAACTACTTCATTCTTGGATGTAGATTAGTGTAATCACTTTGGAAATCATTATGGAGGTTTCTCAAAAAACTAAAAATTAGAACTAATAGATAATCTAGTTATGTCAGAAAGACTAATATGGTATACAGTTGCTTATATGTGGATATTAGCTGTTAAGTCAATGATAACCAAACTCCAATCCATAGAACCACAGAGATTAGGCATAGAGTAAGGGACTAGGGGAGACTGACAGATCTCCCTAGGAAAGGGAAATAGGATTGTTATGAATGGATGGAGGTATTGGAAGGGAAGGATCAAGTCGGGTAGGGGAGAGGATAAGAGAGGGAATACAGGGAGAGACAGGTAAAATTAAGAGCCATTCAAGGGGTAGAATGGAAACCTAATATAGTAGAAACTTCCTAAAATATATACATATATGAAGGTGATCTAAAGGAAATTGCTAAATGATGGGGGAGAAAAAGCCCCAACTGGACATCTATTGTCACCAAATGAAGATTCCAGTACTGGGAATGGATTACATCAAGTTGAATTTTTGGACAAAGGGGTCCCATAGGAATCCCCAAACAACCAAGACAGTTGCCAAGAAAATGGGTTGCTCTCCACATTGGCAGCAAGGCCGTGTTACTGAAGACAATACCTACACAACTCATTGAACATGGAGAAGATGACCTGGGGCCAACATGGAGCCTTCACCCCTCCTGACTAGTGTTCATGGTATTAGAAGGTAGTCTGCATGCTACCAAAGGAGAAAGGTAAACATCAACCCACCTATAAATTGTTCAATCTACAATGGTGTCCTGCCTGCAAGATAAGGTGGCATAAATCTTGTAGGACTAACCAACTAATATCTGATTGGATTTAAGGCCCACTCCACTCCACAAGATAGACCCATAACCAACACTGCTGGGATGACCAATAAGCTGAGAATAGATAGCCCAGGACCTAGGGCAAAAACAAATATTACTCTTCTACTGAAAGAACACAGCAATAAAATGACTCCTAATGACATTCTGCTATACTCAAAGATAAGTGCCTTGCACAGACACCATCTGAGAAGCTTTAAGAGCCAGAGAGGATGGAGAACACCAAGAAAACAAATCCCTCTAATGATCAAAACACATATGAACTCAAAGAGACTGAGGCAGCATGGATCCTGCATGGAACTGCATCAGGTCCTTTGTGTATATATTATGACTTCCTTTCAGAAGAGGAGACAGAAAGAGTGTAAGAGCCAGAGGATATGGAGGATACCAAGGCAATAGGGCCCTCTAAACTAACAGGATTGACACACATATGAACTCACAGAGACTGTGACAGCATGCACAGGGCCTGCATGAGTCCACACCAGATGGGGTCCTACAGCTGAAAGGAGAAGTGGACACATGCCCTCATTCCTAACCCTGAAGCAATCGCCAATTGATAACCATTTGCAAATAAGAAATTAGTTTTCTCTAAAGGAATCTCACTGGGGAAACAAACTACTCTTAAAGGTAGGCTGCATGCCCAGCAGTAGAGGGTCAACAGAAAATGAACTCAATGGCATCTTTAGAGATTTTTTTGTCTCATAATGTCATGTCAGGGATTTAAAATTTTTTTTTATCTTTTATTTTACTTATGTTTTCCCTCTATCTTTTTATCCCATGGGTCCTTTGTGTATATATTATGGCTTTCAGTCTGGTGTTTTTATGGGATTCCTGAGTGTGCGAGCGAGTAGGTCTCTGCATCTGTATCCATTTCTTGTGTCTTTTCTTGGGCTCTGTTCCTTCTGTTTGTTTTGTCCTATTCTGGTGAGTTAGTTTTTTTTTTAATTTATTTATCTTAATAATAATTTTTATTATTATTCCTTAAAAGCCTGTTTGTTTTCTAATGAGAGACAGAAAGAAGGTGGGCCGGATGGGAGAGGTGGTGAGAGGACCTGGGAGGAGCAGGGGGAGGGGAAACCATAATAAGGATATATTATGTGAGAAAAAATATATATTTTAAATAGAAGGAAAATAAAAATTTAGTTATATCTCTCCTGGGAATATAACCAAAGCAACCAAGTCAGTGTACCACAGAGACAGTTGCAGACCTGTGTTTCTTGCTACACTATTCACAGCAGATGAGTTATAAAATATGCCTAGCCAATAGAGGAGTGAATAAAGAAATTCTCTCTCTCTCTCTCTCTCTCTCTCTCTCTCTCTCTCTCTGTCACACACACACACACACACACACACACACACACACACACACAGAAATGCAACTCACACACTCACACATTAATATGTTTTTGGCTGTTAAGAATGAAAATATGTCACTTGATGGAAAATGGATGGAACTGGAGATCAATATGTTATGCACAGTAAGTCAATCCCATAAAAACACAAGTATTACATGTGTTTTTGAACATATGGCAGATAAGAAGAAAAAAGACATGAAACTGAAAGGGGGCTACCAGGGATAACAAAACAGAAAGGGAGAAGGGAGTATAGATAGGTAAGAATAATAGAAGGGTGAATATGATTATATTATAAACATGTATGAAACTATCATGAGACCCCCTTACACTTAATGCATGCTAATAATAATAATTTTCATAAAATATTAAATACATATTTTTTAAAAAAGCTTAGCTATAAAAAGATAGAAAAAGGAATACAGAGTCTATACAAGTATACAAAAGCAGAGAATTAATAAAAGTTGACTGATAGGAAGTCAACAGGTATGGAAAGGCTAAAGATAGAGGAAAATCTCCAGTTGAAGAAATGATGACATCCAGAGCAAAGCTGGCTTTAGAAAAGATAGGCATGTAACAATGAAGATGATAGTGGTGATTACAATAACTAAAATGGTAATAACAACTAATCCTTACTGAATATTTAGTATGTGTTGAGAAGAATGTTAAATGCTTTAAATTTATTACAAAATTTAATCCCTTATCAACATTAATGGATAGATTGTATTGCTAATCTCATTTTATAGATGAAGATAAGGAAGCTTGGAGATTTTAACTTACATGCTCAGCATCAAAAAGCTAATAATACATGTTCAGATTGGGTTGCAGGACAAGGTCTAGTTGATGTCACAGCCTTAACTCTTCACCACTATCACTACCCTGCAAATCTACTCAGTCTTTATAATTGACTAGAAAAGGTAAAAGGGAAATGTAGTTGTTTATCTCTGATGTTGGCAGAACGTGCATATGTGTATATGCCATAGTACATGTGTGGAGGCCAGAGGAAAACTTTTGGGAAACGGTTCTCCCATTCCACCATGTGGGTGTCCCAGAGACTAAACACAGGTTACCAGGTTTGTTGACAAGTGTCTTAACCAGCTGAGCCATCTCACTGACCCAGAATATTCTTTTTTTTTTTTTTTTTTTGTTTGGTTTTTCGAGACAGGGTTTCTCTGTGTAGCTTTGCGCCTTTCCTGGAACTCACTTGGTAGTCCAGGCTGGCCTCGAACTCACAGAGATCCGCCTGGCTCTGCCTCCCGAGTGCTGGGATTAAAGGCGTGCGCCACCACCGCCCGGCCAGAATATTCTTAAAGATACAAACTCTTCAAATAAACCAATGTAACAATAATCAGCTGGGTACTGTCACTCTTTCCTACTATCTTTTTAACACTACATGCACATGTACAATCATCTAACTAATATCATTGCTTCAGGCTCATAATCTGTATGCAGAAGCAAGATCAACAATGACAAAGCAACAACCATAGAGGCCTCTATTAAGTAGCAAATAGTAGGGAATCTGAATATAGTATATGCCTACTAGTGTATAGCTATTGATTTAATATAAAAAAAGTTATTTTTCTGCCATTTCTCCTCTTCAACTTCTTGTTAGATTCAGAGTCTTCTTTTTTTTTTTTTTTTTTTTGGTTTTTTCGAGACAGGGTTTCTCTGTGTAGCTTTGCACCTTTCCTGGAACTCACTTGGTAGCCCAGGCTGGCCTCGAACTCACAGATTTCCGCCTGGCTCTGCCTCCCGAGTGCTGGGATTAAAGGCGTGCGCCACCACCGCCCGGCCAGAGTCTTCTTAATAGCATACTAATAACAGCAATGTTTATAGGACTGACCTCTTTGCTATAACACAGTAATTAAATGCAAGAAGCAATTTTTTTTTTAAAAGATAAATTCTTATTGTTGAGCCCTGGCTGTTTCTGAACTCAGTAAGATCCACCAACCTCTGCCTCCTGAGTTCTGGAATTAAAGGCCTCTGTCATCATGCCAAAAATGTAATTTCTAAAGCTTATATTATAGTTAGTTAACTTTTTTGGTGAGCTGTAATTACTTTGAGAAAATATTGTAATACTGTATAGTGGGTTGGAAGGCTGAGGCAGGAGAATTGTTCAAGGCTAGGCTACATACTGAATTCCAGTTCTAGGACAGAGCATCCAGGGCTACAGTGTAAGCCAGTGTCTGTCTCTTTCCACATACACACATGTATATGTGTTGTATTTTAAATACAAATTATATTCTTAAAAGTTTAATGAAGACTGAACTAGAATATTATTAAATGACTAGTTTCCAGAGGAAGACAAAGAAATACTCATAAAGTCCACAGTAAGTAGGCATGACCTTCATTGAAATAGAATGGAAGACAATTAAGAAACTATTCAAGACCATCAACTAGAAGAAGAGTACACTAGAAAAGTATAATATACTTACCCACAGGGCTCTTGAAAGTAGGTAGTGTCAGTGTGCCGATCTAGAGCTAGCTTGGTGTATGCAGTGTCACCTCTGGAAAAATCTGAAGTGAAATACCACATCCTTCCATAGATGGTTTCTCTGGCAAGTAAAATCAAGAAAAAAAACTATATTTGTAATAATTAATTTTTAATGTAATACTTAATGTAATATTTAATTGTAACATTTTTAATTTTATTCATCATTGTTTCCTCTTAACATATATATATAATAGTTATTGTTGTTACAGATTGCTATCTATAAGGTGAAACTGACAGTTAAAAATACCAGTCTTAAAAATTCTGTCACTGATTGACACTCTGGGAATGTGAACTGAAAACCATTGAAATACTGCACATTCTGAAAGCTCAGAGATCATTGCCTGTTGTTTATATTATTATTTTAATAGCCTCCTCATTCAAGGCTATTCCCTTTGTTTACTTTCCTCTTATAGAAACAATGATGTGGCTGCTTATAGTAAGCACAATTTTATTATAAGAACTACAGTCTTTCATTAATATTCAGATTTTTCAACAACAGTCCTTTTCTAATAGATAATCTAATAAGGGTGACAGAAGTTTCCTTATTATTCATATATCATAGAGGTTTTTTTTCATTTAATCTTTTGAACACAGAGGAACAAGAAAAAGAGAAAATGATATTTTTGTTGCAATTATGAGACCTGCTGTATTTCTCCTGTAGAATAATAGATTAGATTTTGCATTTATTTTCTCAGTGGGTTCAGATCTGAGGAAAGGATACTTTTTTTGTTTGGTTTTTCAAGATGGATTTCTCTGTGTAGCCCTGGCTGTCCTGAATCTCACTCTGTAGACCATGCTGGCCTTGAACTCAGAGATACACCTGCCCTTGCCTCCAAGGTTCTGGGATTAAAGGACTGCACCACAACACCTAAATCCAAGAGCAAACAGGAAATGCTTTTACTTTTGAAATAAAAGTTTCCAAGCCTTCTCAATAGTTTGATTAGCAGCAATTTCATTTACTTTAGAGCTTTGGAATTGTGTTTCAAACCGAATGGCTCACAAATGCCATTGATTATGCTTTACTAGCACTGTTCAAATGACTCAGCACACTTTGGTACTTTGAGTAACACAATGAACTAATTACACATGAATTTTATTAAATAAAAAATACTATTTGTAATGAAGTAAGTTTATGTCGCATTTAATGCTACAGAAGATCAAGCTATATGTGAAATGGAGAATAGTAATGAAAAGAATACTTTATTTAGGATAAGGAAACCCAAGGTATACTGCTTACTGTAACAGTGATCCTGGAAAAGTCACTGATTGTATCTTAGCACCAGGTGCTTATCAGTGGAACAGACAATAAAACATGATTAAAAGGTTGCTGTAATGACCAAAATAAAATATAGGGTGTGAATATGCTAATTAAATTCAATACAATGTATCCAATGAACCATTAACAACCAATCTATGATAGAGAGTTAGGAATTTACAAAGATAAAAACTGGATAATTTTTAGACACTCTATATTTTTAAAATATAGTACAAATTCAGGCCCCTTTTAAGCAGAATATAGTACAGGGAGGAAGTAATGATGGAGAGGGAAGGGAGGAGGAGAGAGATTACTTTTTTTAGGGGGGGTGGCAGTACTGGAGACTAAACCTGGGCCTAATGCAATTGAGGAAGATGCTCCATGAAACTAGATCTTTTTACATCTTTTAATTGGTGCTCACACTCTAGAAATTACTTACTGTGGATTTCAGAAAGTTAGTAAATTACCTGATTAAACTGACCCTTTCTGCCAACTTCTCTGTGTGTTCTTGAGTGGGAGGGACGTTTTCTACGAATGCAATTCCATATAGCAGAAAGTTCTGCAGAAACTTCTTCAGTTCATCATTTGATTCTAAGAAACTCTGGAAATCAACAGATGGAACCTGGGCTTCTTGGTAGAGTTTAGCATTCCATAATATTCTAGGGTGGATAACCTTTTGTTTCTGCCCTTCATAGCTATTTTTCACCAGCCAATCCAGATCATATCTAGTCACATGACCATCTGGCCCTTTTTAAGAGAAAAAAAAGCATTAAAATAAAATTTAGAAAAACTGACAATTTACTACTTAAAAATGTTCATTTATTTTTCTGACATTAGTTTTACATTTTTAATGGTTTGAGAATTTCATAGATGCATGTTTTGATCAAATCCACCTTCCATTCACTCCCCTCCAATTCCTCTTGCCCACCACTTTCCCCTCAAACCTTATGTGTTCTGTTTTTAAATTCACTGAGACTACTTCATGAGTCTCTTCCTCATCCATGCTGGGAATTTTGGCTGGCTTGATCATATGCAAACAGTCACAACTGTGAGTTCTGTGTGCAATGGCTTTGTCATGTCTGGCAAGTACTTTTCTTACAAAGTTCATCAAAGAGTAGAAGTATCCCCTCTTCCTAGATGGTTCCTGAGCCTTGGGGTGTGTGTGTGTGTGTGTGTGTGTGTGTGTGTGTGTGTGTGTGTGTGTGTGTGTGTGTGTGTGACATAGGTGTCCTATTTGGAGCTGAGACTTCCACAGGCGATTTTGCTTTGTATGTTGACCAGTTGTGGGTCTCTGTGTATTAATCACCACCTACTGCAAAAATAAATTTCTCTGATGAGGATTGGAAGATACCTAATCTATGAGTATAAAGACAAAAATTATGGGGCAGTTTATTACTATATCTATTTGTAAAATAGTAGTATTAGGCTCTCTCCAAGGGACAAAGATCTAGCAAGTCACCATTTTTTTTTGACCAGTAATGATACCAGGCATGAGTTCCATCTTGTAAAGTGGGTATTAAATCCAAACAGAAAGTGGTTGACTACTTCCATAGCATTTGTGCCACTTAAAACAGTGGGATTATTTTGCCAGGTCAGTCATTATTATAGCTTGTAGAGTTAACATATGGGGAAGACTGTTGATTCTTTTTTTCCCCTGGAGGTGTGCATAGTACCATCCAGCACTATAAAAGCTAGCCAGTAGGGTTGAAGCTTCACAGTTAGTAAAAGCTTGATTTCTGTATGTTCTACAACTCAAGTATGAGGTGTCTTCAGCAATAGGGTCTTATAATCTAGTTCTGGAGGGTAACCAGGAGCAATGGCAATAGCAAATAATGTTGGGGGGGGTTATCTAAGGGACTCCACTGACCTACAACTTTAAAAGTGTTAACCATACCTGGGACTGAGGTTTTTATTTCATGGTATCTAGTACCTGGAAGAGACACTGTCTCCCTTATTATAGGTAACTCAATTTAAACACACACACACACACACACACACACACACACACACACACACACACACACACACACTTGTATTTTAGGAAGCTTCTACAGTAAGGGGTTTCCATATGGCTTTTCCAAAGGTCTTTAGTGTTAGTTATCCCACCCAATATTCTCTCTTCTACCTTGCCATCTGATCCCCACTCCACTTAACCTTAAACTCAATGGGTCACAATGATGACATGAGAGGAGGAGGAGGACTTGTTGGCAAGGAGAAGGGGTTTGGCTGAAGTAGGAGGGAGATAAGTGAGGGTAATGGGTATGGGGAGGTAAATATGATCAAAATACATTATATACATTTCTCAAATGATGAAAGAATAAAATATTTTAAAAAATCATCATATGCCTATGCCCCCCCCCCACTGAAACCATAAAGGAAGCAAAGCACTAAATTGTGTCTGGCAAAGTTTTGCAAATAACTTGTATAATATTTTAAGAGAAGGAATAAGAAAGGATCAGCAGAAATGGAGGAAGAGAGTTTATATTTGTAAATGCTATCCAATTGCCAAAATACAAGTTTGCTTAGTAATATCAAGTACTCTGGAGGCACACCATCTATCATGATGTGTAGATGTAACCGTCTTGTTAAATAAGAAACACAGAGCCAATTGCAAAGTTAGATGCCCAAGAGGTCAGAGCAAAAGCTAAGAGCTAAAATCCTCACCCTTCACTGCTGCTGCTGTCCTCCTCAGCAAGAGAGCTACTTCCTGTGTATCTGTCTTTATATAGACTTTCTGTTCTGCCTTCTCATTGGTTGTAAACCCAACCACATGACCTCCTCATCACTGCCCATCTATACAGACCTCCAGGTCTTCTATGGTTGGTATTGAGATTAAAGGCGTGTGTCTCCATGCTGGCTGTATCCTTGAACACACAGAGATCTGCCTAGTTCTGCCTCCCAAGTGCTGGGATTAAAGGCGTGCACCACCAACGCCCAGCTTCTGCTATGGCTTGCTATTAGCCCTGACCCCCAGGCAACTTTATTTATTAACATACAAATAAAATCACATTTTAGTACAAATAAAATGTCACCATAATGATGAGTTCCCTGAATACTCAAACCCAGTAACCCTTTGGACTCTCAGTGGTGTGTGTGTGTGTGTGTGTGTGTGTGTGTGTGTCTAAGAATTACATGAGACCTCAAAAGTCTCTGCAATCTGTCTGCAATTATTCCTCTTGTAAACACCAAACTGATGATGGCTTTATTCCAAGAGTTGTCATGACTCCTAATTTAATTTCTTGAGAGATGATTTAGATGGAGACAACGCTTCCAGGATGATAAAACATATGTGAATTCCATTTCCATCTCATTATCGAGTTTGTGCTACCAACTGATTCTGACAGTGTCTGGAGATGTCCTGTAGGAGACTGCAAATTCTCCTTTATTCATGGTAGACTACAAGACAAAGGTTTAAGGTTTCAGCTAAGCCCTTTAATGTGCTAACATAGTTAAAAGACTGACCCAAAGAACCAAGCCTCTAGTCCATTGCTTTTTTTCCCACTAACCAACAACTATAAAAGTGTAACCAGAGGTGGAGCCTTTCTGTCCCGATCGCCTAGCCCCAAATAAACACACAGAAGCTTATATTTATTATAAATGCTTGGCCGATGGCTCAGGCTTATTACTAACTAGCTCTTACATTGAAACGAACTCATTTCTATTAATCTATGTATTGCCACGTGGTCTGTGGCTTACTGGTCCTCTGACATCTTGTTCCTTGGGTGGCTGGCTCAGGTCTGCCTCGATTCCATCCCTCTTCCTTGAGTCCTCAGTTTCATTCTTCCACCTAACCTTATCCTGCCTTGCCATAGGTCCAAACAGCTTTATTATCAACCAATGAGAGCAACACACATTCACAGTATATAGAAGGACCATCCCACCGCATAAAAAATTAACTTATACCTGGCACTGAGGTTTTAATTTCAGAGCCTATACTATGTGGGATAGGTATTCTTCCCTCTGCTATTGAGTAACGCGATTTAAACTCTTTTTTATATTTGTTTATTATATACTTAGGAAGCTTCTAAAGTAGTAGGTTTCCATATGGCTTTTTCAAATGTGAGTTACCCTTTTCATTATTCCCTCTTCCTACCCAGCTGCTCTAGTCCCCATCCCACCTAAACCTTCCTGTTCCTTTATCTTCTTTCCCCCTTCATACCACCTGATACTCATTACCCTTCCCTGTGGGGCAGTTGTTTTTTTTTTTTTTTGGTCTTTTAATGGGTTTTGGGTCTGGGATAATTTTCATTGATTGGGGGGTTGGTTACAAGTTGTTGTCAAGGGTTAGGAAAAAGGCTAAGCAAAGGAGATTAGATTTAAGGTTCTTGTTTAAAAAAAAGAGAAAGAAAGAAGAAGAAAAAGACAATTACTAGTTTTAAATACTTTACATTGGATTGGATTGTTTTATATTGTATACAAATTATATATATTGAAATTGATATTGTTAGAAAATGCTTTATGTATATTTCTAATTGTACCATTCATTTAACAATGTAATGCAATTTTCTGATCCTTGAATGTTATTATTACCAACTATTAGGATATAAAGAAATGAAGGTTAGTAGTTAGACATTACAATAGAACTTGTAGTCATATTAGATATGTTTTCAAAATTGAGCAGATATATTTTAGACAGGTCATCTTCAAACCCTTCAGAGATCTACAGAATATGGCATTTAAAATGTTTTAATAACTTAGAAAATTTTTCTTTTTTGAGACATGTTGGCTCCTGGCAGTACCAATCTACTTCAGAGAAAATATGGGCATTGAAGAAACTGCGTATGGAGTTAACTTTCATTGTGGCAAAAGTTAGCCACTGGACAACAAAGTATCCTCGAATCAACTGCTGACAAAATGGACAGACAGGACATGAAACAAAGGACTACTGATTCTTGCCAAAACAAGTGTGGTTATGGCTTTATCAAAAGGCATCTTCTGAGGCCAGGACAATATGGCACCATCCCTGAAGTGGCCTTAGCAACTCGGAAAAGGTACAGTGCCCTTTTCTTTGAAGGCAGCTGAACAGGCAGTGGGCCGATGGCTTCTGATGTGCAATGGAACAGCAGCTGAAACAGTTATTCTTGATGAGTAACTAAGCTCACGCCTCTCAATAGTAGACTGGCATTTGATAGAGGGATGTGGAGAAGAACGGGATGCTGAGATGAAGCCACATATATACACAGCCAAGAAGAATGGACAGCTGAATTAAAAAACCATCAACAATTTCCAGAATTTAAAATCCTGAATCATGACATGACACTAGTGGAATTCCGGTGTTTCTGGTACATGGACTGCTCTCACTCAATGTGAGGTTGAACTGTTGACCTTGTGTATATCGTACTTCACAAATGAGTCTGTCAGATATGCTAAGCCTATAGGCTGAAGATGATGCCCCAGGACTGCGGAGAAACCTCAGGTGACTGTCCAGACAGCTGTCTGTTTCTGTCAACTCACAATTTTTTGGAAGTTGCTTGCATATACTTCCCGTTTTTATTTTTTTGTTAGCTAATATTATTTCCTTCTTGGGTCTCTGAGGGAGTTGAAGATTAGTTAGTTATAGCTGAAGATTAATTAGGATAGAAAGTGAATTAGATACATTTTGGACTTACCAAAATAGGATAGATAATGAAATTATTTTCTCTGAATTTGTCAAATACAAATGGACTAGACATTGTCTAGGTATTTATTACTTGTATATATTGTATATAGTTATTGTACTTTTGTATATAGTTTTTCTTTTGTTAGTT